GAAGGGGCTGTCTGAGTTTAGCACACCAAGGGGGAGGGAGTGACGTAGGAGGCTAGGACCGGATACAGGAAGGAGGCGTCTGGGATTAGTGCATAGACAGAGTACGTGACCTAGGAAGTCAGGAAGGAGGCGTCTGGGGTCAGTGCTACACAAAGGGACCCAGGAAGTCAGGAAGGTCACAGGAAGGAGGCTTCTGGGGTTGACGTTGCATATAGGGAGGGGACTAAGCAAAGGGAACTCAGTCCCCTGCCGTCCCAATCCCACGTGGCACCGCCCCTTGCCTCAGGAGCACAAGGTCCGGCTACTTCCTTGCACCCAGCTTATCTCACATAGCACTGCCCACTGCCTCAGGGCTTCTCCGTACCCAGCCCATCCCAGTTCACCATGACTCCGCCTACCACAGCCCCTGCCTCGACTTCCAAAAATACCCAGATCTTACCCTAATCTTGCCACAGCGCCCAACTGGCAACAGCAAACATCAGACAGTCCCTCACACCACCTTTTTTGAATGGTCACAGAATCTCACTGAGGAGTTAAAAATCTCATTAGCTTTTTTAGCTGTCATGTCATACCATTGACTCATAGTAATCTTGTAGCTCTCAAGTCACCAACTCTTCTGTATTGATTTGTTTGGTCACAGCTCCTCCATCCTAATGATTTTTTTAAATCTAAAAGTAAGACTTTACATTCATCTATATTAAATTTAATTTGGTTGGATTTTGAATTACCATTCTAGTCTTTTAAAATCAGCACCTACTTCCTAGGGTTGTAGTAAAGATCAAACGAGATAATATTGGTAAAACTCTTAGTTCAGTGCCTGGCACATAGTAGGTGCTCAAGAAATGCTTGCTCTCTTCCCTTGCCTTGAATCCTGACTCTGTCATCCAACATGTTACCTATTCCTCTGACTTTTGAACCTTCTGCAAATTAGGCCAACACACCGTTTATTACTCCAATGTCAATCCAGGTCATATGGAAAAATAATGAATGACCCAGAGCCAAGGGCAGATCCTTGAAGCACTCTACTAGAGACTTCCTTCCAGGTTGATATGTATCTTTACACTTTGGCCCAGTCATTCAGTCTGTTTGGAATCTACCTACCTTTACTTTCATCTGCCCCACTTCTGTCCATCCCATCCACAAGGACAATATGAGAGGCTTCCTTAAACATCTAGACATATTCTGTTTACAGAATTCTCCAGATCTACCAGACAAATACCCTGTCAAAAAAAAGAGGTGGAGGGGATTTCTGCTCTGGTAGACTGGAGCCACTGGGGATCAGGAATGAGCATGTCATTAAGTCAATCCAGATGATGCATATGTATAAATAATTCACTGAGCTATCCAATGCTTCATTCCAATAACAGGCTCCTCCACTAGTGTTTACATGCCAGGTCTGGAGTCCATCCCCCAGTTGTTCAACGAGAACAGAATCCTCCAGGAAGAAAACCAAAACCTGCAGGCTCAGCTGAGCCACCTCTCCAAAGGTAAGAGGGGCGCAGTCCCAGGCTCTGGCCTCCTCCATCCTTGGGGGAGATTCTGAAGCTGCTTCCATTATTTCATGCTGCTCAGAATTCTCAGAGTGACTTTGGATCTGGACTGCTTTGTAAGAAAAGGTCCGTGGGTTTGAGGAGGGCATATGAATCAACATTCCAGCTGCCACACCTACCTATGGTCAAGCTGCCTTAGGTGGGACGTGGGCTAGAGAGAGGCAGTGTGGCATGGTAGGAAGAACAACCAGACCTAGCAACAGAAGGCTTGGGTTCAAGTCCTGATTTTGTCATTTCCTACTTGTATGACCATAGACAAATTTCTCTAACTCACTGAACCTTAGATTTTATTTTCATCTGTAAAACTAAGATAATTAATACTTGCCCTTCCTATCACTTAGGGTTGTATCAAATATTTAATAATAGTTCATATTTATGTAGCACTTCAAGGTTTACTAAAAAATATTTTATTATTTCTCTTTTATCACTCTTTTTTTATTAAATTTAAAAAATGTTTTCAGTTCCAAATTTCCTTCTTCTTTTCACTCCTCCCCCCACATTAAGAAGGTAAGAAATACAATACCCATCATAAATAGGAAGTTATCATAGCTCTTGATAATTATGACAAACCTATGATTTATGATTTACAGATAAAATTGAGAATGAAAGCAGTTAAATGAGATGGGATTGAATTCAGGTCTTCCTGACTATTAAATCCAGATCTCTACCCATCAGGCTACCCTTAAATGTGATGGAGCCCAAACAGTACTATCATTAATTATATTATTATATATATTCATTATATAATTTTATATATGTAAACACATAATTATATATAATATATATAATTAACATATTAATCTGGCTTCATTTAGGAGCTGCTTTGAATGTTGTATCTAGAGCCTATTACATTAAGAAGACCTGAGTTCAAATTTGGCCTCAGATACTTACTAGCTATGTGACCCTGGGCAAGTCATTTATCCCTGTTTGCCTCAGTTTCCTCATCTGTAAAATTAGCTAGAGAAGGAAATGGCAAACCACTCCAGTATCTGGCAAGAAAACCTCAAATGGGGGTCACTAAGAGTCAAACACAACTGAGACAGCTGAACCCTACTAGCCTTTTCAGTGTGTCTTCTCAAGCATGTTGTATAGAAAACTTTCCCAGAGAGAAGCGACTGTATCTTCCCAGTGCCAGGATGCTAAGCTGACTGCCCAGGTGCTCTTTTGTTTTTAAGTCACACCAAGACTGCTAAGTAACTGTCCGTCTGTCCTCTGGTGGATGCTGCCCCACTCCCGATGGCCATCTACAGGCATATGGTCCCTCCCTCCAACTTCCCCTTACCTCAGTTTGCTGAGTTTCTTGTGGTGGGGCTCCCTTCTTCCTTGCTGGGGTTTGGGGGTTCCCAAGGGGTCTGGGTACCTCTGTGTCTCAGAAACCCAAATCCTTCTTCCCTGCCCCATCAGATCATGCTAGGGAGCTGGAGCGTCTGAGGGAGGCTCTGTTGGCCTCCCGTGCCCGACTTCAAGAGCTAGAGGCCGAGCTGGAGAAGCAGAAGGCAGATCGGCGGCAGACTGCTGAGGACCTAAAGGAGAAGCAGCAGGAGGTCCTGCAGTTCCGCGAGGAGCGATTCTCCCTGCAGGAGAAGAACAACAGGTGAGCGGGGCCTGTGTAGGGGTAGAGAGGCTCTCTGCTTCCTACCTTCTTCCTCCCTTCTGCGAGACAGAGCTTCTTTCTCTGCCTCTGTTCCTGCCCCCTTGTGTAACCACCCCTAAATCAGGAGTGTGCTGGAAGCCGTGGGGACCACTCAGGAGGCCACCTGGTCCATTTTCAGCCTGAGCACCTACACCTCAGCAATCAGTAAATGCTACGAATCAAGGCTTGTTTTAGGGTTTCGTGCATTGTCTAGACCAGTGCTTCTTAAACTGTGAGTGGCGGATTTGGCAACAGTGAAAGGTTTCTGACCGTGTAATGACCAAAAATTACTTAAAAATCAAACACTTAACGGATCTGAGGTGTTTCTGGCAGCGCTTGCCCGTGTGATGCATGGAGCAACTTCCCTGCAGCCTTGGTTCCGAAACACAAAGCATGTGCACTTTGCACTGCGCATGCCCTCAGGCCACAAACCGGCAGCAACGCTGCTGAAACTAGAAAAGGGTCATGAGTGGAAAAAGTTTAAGAAGTCCTGGTCTAGACTTAAGAAAGTGATGGAGAAAATGTTAATAATACATACTAAACTTAAAAGTCTGTCATGTACATTTTTTTTTAAGTTGGTTAAATATTTACCCGCAGACTCCTGCCCTAAGAGTGAGAGATCCTCTCGAGAAACTCCCTTTTCTTTCAATGTATGACTAATGAGAGGCAGCTAGTGGCACAGTGGATAGAGCACTGGCCCTGGAGTCAGGAGGACCTGAGTTCAAATCCAGCCTCAAACACATAACACTTCATAGCTGTGTGACTCTGGGCAAGTCACTTAACCCCAATTGCTTCCAAACAAAACAAAGTATGACAAGTGATACAATGAGGCCCCATTACTCCATGGGTGACAATAATAGCATTTATATAGAGAGTTTGCAAAGTACTTTATGTGGATTATTTTATGTTTAATCCTCACAACAACTTTACACAAGTTATCTTTACGTAGTTCAAATCCAGTCTCAGACATTTACTAGCTGTGTGACCCTGGGCAAGTCACTTAAACCTCAGTTTCCTCATCTGTAAAATGAGCAGGAGAGGGAAATGGCAAACCACTCCAGTACCTTTGCCAAGAACACCCCAAATGGGGTCACACAAGAATTAGACATGACTGAATAACAAATTGGGAAGCAAGGCATCACAGTAGATAGGAGGCTTAGAGTGACTTGGAGTCAGAAAGACTGGAGTTCAAATCTTGCCTGAGACACTTACTAGCTGTGTGACCCTGGACAAGTCATTTCACTTCATTAAATCTTGATTTCATTTGTAGCCTATTTCCCAGGGTGGTTGTGAGGATTAAATGAGATGATGATGCTGATAGCTAACATTTATATAGCACTTACTTTGTATGCCTAGAACTTCTCATTTGATCCTCACAACTCTGGGAGGTAGGTGCTATTATTATCCCCATTTTACAGGTGAGGAAACTGAGGAAAACAGAGCTTATGTGACTTGCCCAGGGTCACAAAGTTATGAAGTATCTGAGGCAGGATTTGAACTCAGTTCTTTCAGATTCCAGGTCCAGTGCTCTATCCACAGCACCACCTAACTGCACCAATAGATACAATTCTATTGAGAGCCTGTTAATCTCTAAAGGATGCAGTGCATCTTTTTTGCTCTAGTACAGGGCCCTTACACTGGCCCTACACCAAGCTAAGGCACCTATCTTTAGAGAGCATCACTAGGTCACAGTGTCGCTGTCCTGATGGATCTGCTGCCTGTGGAATCCCAGGTGTTCCTAACCCCTGCTCTTTTTCCCTGGTAGGCTACAGCACAAAATGATTCTCCTGCAGCAGCAGTGTGAGGAGAACCAGAGGCTCTTCAAGTCCCTCCAGTCTGAGCTGCAGGTCTATGAAACGCTCTATGGGAGCTCCAAGCAGGTGCTGAAGGGTAAGCACCTCCTCCCCCAGCTGCCTCCTGCCCTGGGAAGTCCATCTTCCGCAGAGATATAGCATTCCTTCACGGAGAGATGCCATGAAAGATGGGCTGGGGTTTAGGAGAAGAGAGAAGGACAAGAGGAGGGATCTTTTCAGACATAAATCCTAGGGATGAGCTATCTATGGTGTGATTGGGGTCATGTCTAGGCAGCCTTGACAATAAAACAACAGCACAGTTAAACCTTATCTGGTTCAGGTTACTTAAAACAGAGGCTGATGTGACCTATTGAAATGCCCAAGTTATAGAGGTCAGTGTGAATTATTGAAATGCCCAAGTTATAGAGGTCGGTGTGAATTATTGAAATGCCTAAGTTATAGACTGGATTTTTGAAGAAATCCAGTTGCATTGCCTTCAAGTACAAGAATAGCTCTGGATTCCTGGTTTCACAGTTAGCAGGTTTCAAATACTCAAGATGCACAGATTCAACCCAATAGCCCAGACCCTGCAGCTCATCTTTCTTGTTAATACCTACCTGGTAGTTTGGTCCAGAGCCCAGAAAAGCTAGAAGAATCTTCTCTATCCACAACACAGACAATATAATATTTTCAAATTATAGTAAAATGTGTTTTCTGTGGAGGGAGTGGTCTTTCTAAATATAGACTGACAGACACTAGACAAATAAAATGTCTATGACTTTCAACAAGACAAAATTGAATAAGGAATCTGATTGCTTACTGTCTCAGGGAGGGGGAGGGGCAGAGGGATAGAATTTGGAACTTAAAAAGCTTTAAAATTGTTTTAACATGTAACTGGGGAAAAATAAAATGTATTTAAGACTAAAGTTTACTAACAAGATGCTCAAAAGGGGCAGTATGCCATAGCAGAGAGAGGGGCTGGACTAAAAAAAAAAAATGAATAGGGATAAATTAAAGCCCCATTTAGGTTCAAAAAAATTAATTGTTTAAGTATAAGGTGAGGGAAGATCTGCCTTGAGAGCATTTCACATGAAAAAGGTGTAAGGGGTTTAATTGGAACAATATTAATAGGAGACAACATTGTGTGTAGCTTTATTACTCTTCCTCACACATCCTGCTCCATCTCCCATCTCTGTGTTTTTGCACGACTGTCCCCTATGCCTGGTGTGCATTCCCAGCCCACCCCTGCCTTTCAGAATCCCAAACTGCCTTCAAGGTTCAGTTTATGCACATGAAGCCTTCTATACCCCCCTAAGCTGCTATTGCCTTCTCCCCCAAATAATCTTATCTATTTTATGATGTAGTAGAGTCAGGAAGATCTGAGTTCAAATCTTCTTAACATTTACCAGCTATGTGACCATGAGCACTTGTCTAAAATGCCGAGTTACAGATTTGCATTGGTGGTGGTATTTTCCATACCGGGAGTTCCCTGTATGAATGAAATCACAAGTCTGAATTTTAAAAAAAGTGAAGATGCATTAGAGAAGGGAGATAGTGAAAGAAGTTTCTTTAGAGATCGCTTAGTTTCACTCCCTTATTTTATAGATGACAAAACAAGAACAGGAAGGTAGAGGAGGTGTATTGCAAAGATGATAAGATGAGCTAGGTCTTAATGGACGGGGTAAGATTTGGAGGAGGATTGATAGGGTAGACAACAGGCAACAGAGACGAAAATTAGTATGGTGTGTGTTGAGGACATTTAGCCTAGAGAAGACCGGGGTTGAGGGGCAGGGTGCATTAGGGCTGTCTTTATCTATAAAACTATCATTTGAAAGAGAGTGTAGAGTTTGTCTTCTTGACATCAAAGGGTAGGATTGGTCTCGATGGAGAGAAGCTGAAGGAGGCAGGTAATGTGGGAAGGGATGATGAGCCCCTGGACAAAAGCAGCAATTGGTTGGTTGGTTGGTTAGTTGGTTAGTTGGCTGGTCGGTTGGTTGGTTAGTTGGTTAGTTGGCTGGTCGGTTGGTTAGTTGGTTAGTTGGTTGGTTGGTTGGTTAGTTGGCTGGTCGGTTGGTTAGTTGGTTAGTTGGTTGGTTGGTTGGTTGTTGTTGTCCTTCGTTCTTGAAGAGGACCAAAATGACATCACTGTGTTGGAGTCAGATTACAATGCATCCAACTGTGGCCAATCAGACCGATTTGAGCTCAAAATGCTTATTGTTCAGAAGAAGGAATAGAAGTGAGACATCTCAAAGAGAGAATGAACAGTACTTAGCGATAGCTTGCATATGAGAAGAGAAGGAGAGGAATGATGGATGTAAAGGTGATGCCAAAATTTCAAGCCTTTGGAGACGGGTACCAACACCAGCAGAGATGGTGAAGTAGGTAGAAAGGGAGTCAGCCTGGAAGGGTGAGGCGAGTTCTGGCAGGAGGGAGTGACTCCACAGAAAGTTCCCAGAACAACGCCACCAAAAGCGTCCTTCAATCTTTCAGCTTACAGCTGGGACATCTATCACCAAGGGCCTCTGAGCAGCGACTTGAGCACCCTTGTGGCAGAGGTTCGGGCTCTTCGAAGTCAGCTGGAATACAGCATCCAAGTGAACAATTCCCTGCGGCAACAGCTGGAGCAGCAGCTGGATGGCAGTCCTGGAAAAGCCACCCTTGGCTCTTCCTGCAAGACCCAGGCTTCCCCAGCTACTAGCCCTGGGAACAAGTGGCAATTCTTCCAAGGTAGGAAAAAAAACCTCACTTAGACATGGGGGGTGAAGAGTTGGGGATAGCGTGGGGTTGTTTTCAAAGAGTGTGTGGGGGAGACCCCTACCCTGAGCTCTTAAGGGCTATATAGATGACATCATCATCATCCATCATTCTTTATCATCCATGTGGAAGGTGTCCATCCTCAGTTTCCTCAACTGTAAAATGGGGATAATGGGGAAATAATAGCCCCTCTCTCCCAGGGTTGGTTGTTGTGAAGCTCAAATGAGATAATAATTGTAAAGTGCTTAGCATAGTGCCTGGCACATAGGAAGCACTATATAATATTATTATTATTACACAATTATTTGATACGCAAGACAATATTGTTTTTATTGTTGTAAAGTAGATAGACCAGTATTATTTCAGATATTTTACAGATGAGGAAACTAAGGTTAGAACAGTAGTGAGTTTTCCAAGATCAGTCTCCAGCTAGTAAATGGTAGAGACAAGATTAATTAGCTGTGGTGACCCTGGGCAAGTCACTTAACTCTATTTGCCTCAGTTTCCTCATCTGTAAAATGAGCTTAGGAAGGAAACAGCAAACACTGCAGTATCTTTGAGTCAGACACGACTGAAAATGACCGAACAACAGCACTGACTCCAAATTCATAGTCTTCCCACTGCACCAGTGTGTCAGGCTCTGGTTTAAATCTAGGTAGAAGGAGTTTAAATCTAAGTTGAGTCCTAAGTAGTTTTGTTTTGCCAGGGAGGTAATTTTTTAAAAAAAAAAATTTTTCCCCAATTACAGAAAAAACAATTCTAACATTCATTTTTTAAAATTTTAAGTTCCAAATTCTCTCCCTCCCTCCCTTTCTCCTTCCTCTTGCTCCTTCCTGAGATGATAAGCAATTTGATAATAGGTTATACATGTGCTATCATGCAAAACATTTCCTTATTAGTCATGTTGTGACAGAAAACACAGACCAAAAAAAAAAACCCAGAAAAAAATAGAGTGAAAAATAGTATGTTTTGATCTGCATTCAGACTCCATCAGTTCTTTCTCTGGAGGTGACAGCATTTTTCATCATAAGTCCTTTTGAATTGTCTTGAATCTTTGTTCTGCTGAGACTAGCTAAGTCATTCACAGTTGATCATCATGTAATATTGTTGTGACGGTATACAGTGTTCTCCCAGTTCTGTTTACTTCACTTTACATCAGTTCATGTAAGTCCAGGTTTTTTCTGAAATCATCTTGCTTATCATTTATTATAAAACACAATAGTATTCCATTACATTCGTAGACCACAACTTGTTCAGTCATTCCCCAGCTGATGGGCATCCCCTCAATTTCTAATTCTTTGCCACCACAAAAAGAGCTGCTATACATATTTTTGTACATGTGGGTCCTTTTCAGGGAGGTCATTTTAAACAAGAAAGAAGGGAGTTGTATTTGTCCAGAATCATTGAATAAGCTGGGATTCAGAAAAAACCATGGAGCTTCTTTGGACATCAGTGTACAGTCTTATGTGAGGTTTGTGTGGCCAAAGAAATGATGTGGCCACTCAACTTCTTGCATTCTCCTTATAAGCATCTTCATTTTCCAATAAAACAACAGACCAGTTGCTTTTCTGGAAGGATTGGGGCCATCTTCTGCCAGTATAAGGAGCCCCTTAACTCTGGGCTCATGCATGTTCCAGGGTCAGTCCTGGGGGAAGTCTGCCCTCTAAAGAGAGGGATCAAGTTCTTGTTGTCTTTGGCTCTCTGTGTCCCCTATTCCAGAGCCCTTGCGTAAATCACTTTAAACCTTAGATTTGACTTGTGTTGAGGATCTAGCCAAAAGGAAGAAGAAAGGTGTTCAAGGTCCAAGGTAGAGAAGGTACAGGACAGCGATTTATTTCCAGTTCTACAAAAGAAATGCTTAAAACTCAAAAGACTCATAAGCATACATTGACAAAAGTTAAAACATGACTCCATAACTATAAATCCCAAGAGGGTATACTTAAAAACATTTTTTAAAAAATATCAATATAGGGGGCAGCTAGGTGGTGCAGTAGATAGACCACCGGCCCTGAAGTCAGGAGGACCTGAGTTCAAATTCGGCTTCAGACCAAACACTTGACACCTACTAGTTGTGTGACCCTGGGCAAGTCACTTAACCCCAATTGCCTAAAATAAATAAATAAAAATTAAAATAGCAATATATTCTTTATTTATATTCTTATAATATATTCTTATATTTATATTCTTTATTTGTGTTCCTTTACATATTAATAAGAACTTCTATTCTCTAATGTAAACTCATTGAGGACAAGGATTTATTAAAAATTCATAAAGTTTGTGTCTCCTACAAGACCTAAAAGTCTTTCTTTCATGAAATGTTTTCTGGTTGCCAGACAGAAGTGAGTCCTCCCTCCTTTGAAATCTGATATTACATTGTGATTCTTTTATATACCCTGTATTATATTCATTTAAGTATCATGTCTTATCCTTGCTCCCCAACTAGATTATAAATTCCATGAAGAAATGGACAATGGCTTTTACCTCTTTAGATACCCCTCAAGTCCTGACACTGTGCATTCACTCCACATAATTCATGCTCAGGAAAAGCTATTTGAATTTAATTATTTAATTGAACTCCAGATATTTAGATTTCATAGCTTGCTTTTGGCCTGAAGGGGCCACCAAACAGAAGCCATTTGGGAATCATGATGCTTTAGGGTGCATTGTGGAGTGAGAATTCTCAGTGTGGGGACCTTCGGCTCACCTGAGCTTCCTCCAGGAGGGACCCTTACTCTCTCCCACCTGAACCATCCTGCACCATCTGTACCTAGTGAGCCCAGTGCAGTTCTTCATTAGAGTAGCCCAGGGGCAGGGTACTTAAAACACTAAAATACAGACTGTTGAGTGGCCATTTTATCTTCACCTTGACTCTGCACTCTCCAAACAACTCCTTCAAGGTCCATATCTTTTGGCCAGGTAGGACATAGCTTAGGCTCTTTTCTCCTGATAGTGGGCATCTTTGCTGAGAAGAGTGTAAATGTAGAAATTCCTTTTTGCTACTAGTTATCTCCAACTGAGGAGATCCTAGGAGCAAAGGAGCAGAGATCCCAGACTCTTAACTCATGAGGTTGTTACTAAAGCTAAAAATGACCGTCTCAGGATCTCTGTTCAGTAACCCAGGCTCAAGGAAAGAAACAAAGCAGAAGCATCAGCCAGGGGACGGGGTCTAGGCTCAGGTTTGCCATGTTTGAGCAGCTATCATAGCCACTATTTCCCCCACAAGAAGTCCAAGAGAGAGGATGCTTCCACAGAGTTCCCACGAGTTCAGCAAATGGGGAGAAAGTACCAAAGGGTGGAATCACTCCTTTTAAGGTCTGCTCTTCCAGGATCAGTGTCTCATCTTCTTTGATTCAGCCCCTTTCCTCCTGATGCCTTCATGAGGACCAGAAGATTGCTTCGAAACCCTTCAGCACTGAGCAATGTGTCACTCAAAGTGGCAGGGGAGCCCAACTCAGCTCCACACATGCTTCAGCGGAGTGTGCTCCAGCCAGAACAGATCAGAGTGGGGTCCTGACCACCCTCATCACACCCATGTCTCCTGCCTATATAGGGACATGCTGGCTAATAAACTCCAGAACTGCAGCTGGCATGGAGGTCATGAGCTCAGCCTTATTCTCGTAAGGGAAAAGTTCCTCTTGGGCTTCTCTAGTGCTGACTTTCTAATATTTCATTCCAACTTCTCCTAGGTCATGTTCTTCATTTGCTGCTATTTTCCATGCTTGCCCTCCATCTTTCCAGGACTATGAGGATCTCAGCTCTCACAAGTTCTGCTTCCTGATTTCCCCTCGATATTGTATTTTTTTCTCTTGGGAAGACACGACAGTTGTCATGTTTGATTCTGTCTTCTTATCTCCTGTGCTCTTATTCCCCTTTTCCTTGTCTGCCAGGAAGCAGTGAGGCCTCATGCCCACTCTTTTGCTTATTTCTGCTTCGGCTCACATATCACAGAGAGCCTTTGTAAGAAATTGGGCTTCACTCTATTTCAATGCCAGCAAATTACTATCTGTTCCCTTTGTTGTTTATCTCTGAAGATCCGTCTTCCATGCTCTCTCTCCAACAGGCCTCCATGAGTCTCTCATTTCTATCCACCAAGGACTCTCTTTTCCCCCATTCTTCTTTTTCATCCATTCATATATAATACACACACATACATATATGTATGCACGTATGTGTATATTAATGCTCTTCCCATGCCAGGAAGTTTTCATGCCAGATTTGGTGAATAGAATGGGCTTTCATTCCCCATAGCTTGACCTGGCAATTGTTTTTTATAATTCATAAAGCAACAGACCTTAATTACAATGAAGCAGTAGTCCTTTAAAAATATACATACACATACGTACACACACATGCACATACATACATAAACACGTGTCTATGTATGTATATCTCGAGATCTATTGAGAGAGAGAGAAAGAAAGAGAGTGTTGGTCCAAAAAATCTTTTTTGGTTTTTAAGGCCAACCCAACACACATAAGGCTCATTTGTAATAGGATGGATCGGCTCTGGATGTTTCTCTGTCTCCATGTTTATATGTATCTCTCTATCTCTGTCTCTCTTCTCTTTGTCTCTGTCTCTCTATCTCTGCCTTCTTTCCCTCCCCCCCAAATGCACACGTGTGTCTATAGAACGTGTGATTACTGAGTTACACTGGTTTAGGAGGCAAAGACTAGATTTGCAAATGCTTGGTAAAGCACTTTTTGGAAAGGCTCATGACTATGGTTGTCTTTCTGGTGCAGATTCAATTTCTTCTCCTCCAGTTCGGGACGTTGGTATGAACGTTCCAACTTCAGTCTTCTCCACAGCCACATCCGGTGCTCTTGACCCAGAGACCTCCCCCTTCCACAGAACAAAAGGTAAAAATATGACGACTGAAGAGAATTGTGATAGCTTGTAGAAATACTATGGAGGTAGTCACATCCTGACCATCTGCGTGAAGGTTGCCTCCACTGTGGTTTCCTCTTATACTCTAAGCCCTGCCTGTCATCGTTTTCTCCCGATACTTTTCCTGGTAAAGATTTCCCACCATTATGGTTTTGTTTCCTTGGTATGCCTCCTCTTCATTATTGCCAGAAGCCCTCTGCTCCTTGCATGGTTTCCTATTTTTTTTTTCCATTCTGGACCACCATTGATGTAGAAACTTCCATCATCAATGCAGATCAGTAATTTGTCTGTAATTCTTGGAGAGTTATTTGAGGTTACTTGTCTAAGGTCATGTAGCTATTATGCGCCAGAAGCAGGTTTCTACCAGGTCTTTTGGATTCTAATACTAGCCTTCTAATTACTATTCCACCTGCCCCTACATTTGTAGGAGACCATAAAGTAATCAAGATTTTTCTATTTTTGCTTTTTCTGTCCCCAAATTGTTTATTACACCTATTTTTCTTTCATTGCTTTTGTTCACCAATTATAATTATATCCGACTATCTTATAATATCACTATAAGGAATTGAAAAAGAAGATGTCAACAAGACTAGAATAAATTGGGGCAGGTAGGTGGTACAGTGGATAAAACGCTGGCCCTGGAGTCAGGAGGACCTGAGTTCAAATCTGGGCTCAGACACGTAACACTCACTAGCTGTGTGACTCTGGGCAAGTCACTTGACCCCAACTGCATCACCAAAAAAAAAAAAAGATTAGAATAAATTGCCTCAACTTACTGCCCCCTGTCCTGGATATTTCCCAGAGATTATCTTTCCAGATGCCAGCCTCTTTCCGTGTTTGGTCTTTTGGTCCTTAAACTAAAGCATTGAGTGATTACAGAGTAATCACCATGAGGAACATGGCTAAGCTTTGACTTTCGCTTTATTATGCTTTTCAGGATTGGGTTTGGATGTGTCCCCTGGAAAGAAGATCCCTCCCATGCTGGAGGGGGATGCTCCCGATGGTTCATTTGCCAACAAGCATGGTCGCCATATGATTGGCCATATTGATGACTATAGCGCCCTGAAGCAGCAGATCCTGGAAGGACAAGTTCTGGTGCATAAGATGGTCTCTCTCATTCAGGTCACTCTCAACTCACCCACCCTGGAAGCCCAAGGCACTCAGGTAATCAGATTTCTTGGCTCTTTTCTCATCCCTTTCTTCCCACCTCTGGGTTCTCTCCCTCTCTCATTCCCCAACATTTCTTCTTTTCCTCCAGGCTTCCTGATATCTGCTGGTTCCTCTGTCTTCTCTTAGTCATTCCTTGGTTCAACTGCTTTAAAATAAGGCCATTTCTTTTCTAGCTCCTGTTTGGAGCACATGAGCCATATTGTTTCAACTGTACAAGTCCTTGTGTTTTTTTCACCTAGCTCCTTTCACTGCCTTAAGTTCACAAAGAAGCAAGCATCCTACCTAGAGAGCAGGGTTTAGGTGCTTGGGGCTGTGTAAAAGACATAAATGGCAGAGTGAAAACATTAAGGCGATATGCATGCATTGGCATCCTTACAGGTTATGGGTAAGTTTGTTCTCCGCATACAGAGTGGAGAATCAGAGAGAACAATCATGAGATCTTCACATTTACGTGGAGCCGTGGAAGGTTCATAGAGAAGACAGGCTTTAAAAAAATCGTTTGAGTGATGAGAGAGATTTTTGATGGGCTGATGCTTAAGAGTATTTTGAGTGATCATGCTGCTTTGAACAGGTCTTATACTGAGATTCTTAACTTGGAATATCTGGTATCCAAATGTGATGCGAAAATTGGGAACAGAGAAGAGTCACAGAGAGGTGACTTTTTTTTTTTTTTGACAGTAGGGGTATCTAGTCCAAGATACCTTGTACACAGAACACTTTAGAGCACTAAATGGAGAGGATCACCTGGGAATGAATGAGTAGCTTTTTGCATTATCCATTTATGTTCAGGCCCTATTCAGTTGTTTTCAGTCATATCTGACTCTTTGTGACCCCATTTGGGGTTTTCTTGGCAATGATGCTGGAGTGATTTGCCATTTCCTTCTCCAGCTCATTTTACAGATGAGGAAACTGAGGCAAACAGGATTAAGTGACTTGCCCAGGGTCACACAGCTAGTGAGTGTCTAAGTATGGATTTGAACTCAGGAATATGAGTCTTCCTGACTCCAGGCCCTGCATTCTATCCACTGTGCAACATAGCTGCCTCAATATATCTAGTGAATATTGATGCAAAAAAAAATTAAACAAAAGTCTAGCGAAAAGACTATAGCAAAATATTCAGAAAAGTTATTCACTATGAACAAGTTGTGTTTCTACTAGAAATGCAAGGGTGGTTTAACATGAGGAAGCCAATTAACATAACATTATACACCATAAATAACTGCAAATACATATAATCCGTATTTTACTTTGTCTCTGTTTGGTTCTTGGAAAAACTTGATAAATGTCTAATAGTAATCATGATGAAACACAACATAGTATGTATGACTTTTTGGATTCTGTAAAAATGTATTAATAGTAATTAAGCCTTTTTTTTTTAAACAAAAGCAAGAATGTATGATATAAAGCCCCATCTTTGATCACACGATTCACAAGATGGCAGAATAGTTATTTTTATCATAATTCCCTAGGCCTTACCACTTGAAATCAAGAAAAAAAATGCACCATATATAGTAATTTAATCTTCTTCCAGAAACTGGGAAGACAGAAAAAACACATGAGATAAAAAGTCTTCTGAAATGGCGTTGGAGAGCTGAAATATTTAAATCTTCCACTCAGTCTACACATCTCCAGTCTATCCTACGTGGTGTTCTCAGTAAGCGCCAGCTACCTCATAGGCTTTGGCCTTGAGTTTCAAGTCCTGGCTATGATGACAACCCCTTCCCCTCATAGTAGTAACCCCAGTGGAACCCCCTCAAGTCCATAGGAGGTAGGATACTTGATAGAAAGTGAGTCACAAATGTGAACAGGAGTTGCGGAAGATGGAGCACCATGGAGTCACTTAGAGGGGAAGGGGTTCTGTGCCTGCGGGAAGGACTAGAAGACCACCTATCCTCTCACTATAGAATTTCCATCAACTTAGCTGTCCCTCTTAGCCACCAATTCGAGGTTACAGATGTTCAGCCTTGGGGATTTTTATTGGAGAAAATGGGGGATGTCACTGCAGTGGAAGAGGGAGGGGTCAAACAGCAAGGAAGTAAGCCTGAAATAAGCAACTATGAATAGTAGAAAAAACCCAAAAGGAAAAAAGTCTACTCAAGAAAGACTGAGTATAAGCTGAGCTCCCAAGCATAAAAAACCTAATAATAGGATTCATCAAGACAGAAGGAATAATGGGTAAGAATTTTTTAAAGGCCTTAACAATGATCAAGTATTATGCTTGAAACAAAAAAAAAATGACAAAGAAAACAAGATAAAAATTTATGGAACTGAACAACAGAAGAAATCTTTTACCGAGACACAGATGTTCCTTTTACCAAAACTAGGGTGGGGTAAAGCAGCGAGAGAGAAGATGGACCAATATAACAAGTGAATATTGATGCAAATTTTTTTTAATCTAGCAAAAAGAGTATAGCAAAATATTCAAAAAAGTTATTTGATATGAAATGTAAGGATGGTTTAACATTAGGAAACCAATTAACATAATCACATTAAAAACAGAAAGCACATGATTATATCAATAGATACAGAAAAAGCCTTTGGAAAAAAACAAAGCACCTGCTTGTGCTAAAAATCTTAAAAAGCATAGTAAAGGTCCTTACAAGATATGATCAAAGTATATATCTAATATCAAAAGCTGATGTTGTTACAATGAAGAAACATTAACTTCCCTAATAAATGCAGGGATAAAGCACAGGCTTTATTAGTTGACACAGTTTTATAAGTTCTAGTGATTAGCAATAAGACATTAGAAATAAAAGCACAAATATTAGCAAAGAAGAGATGAAAGTATTCATATGATTGTTAAATTAAAAACTTGAGTAAATCAACAAATTAACTGAAGAGATTAGTAGCTTTTGTAAGGTAGCAGAATACAAAATAAATCCACTCCTCTCCAGCATTTCTATGTAGCAAACATAAAAACCAGAAGTAATTGATAGAGAAATCTTACTCAAAGTAGTTACAAAATGAATAAAATATTTTGGAGCCAGTCTACCAAGACACATCCATTTATATATGTATAGCTATAAATCTATATATGCACAATTACAAACCACTTCTTATAAAAATAAAGAATAATTTAAACAGTTGGAGAGATATTCTTTGCTCCATAGTTGAGATCCATCAACCTAATAAAAGAGTATGGTACTCTTTAAATTAAATTACAGACTTAGTGCCATGTCAATCAATCTACCAAGGTGTTATTTAACAGAACTAGAGAAAATAATAAGATTCACCTTCATGAGCAAAAGGCTTAGAATCTCAAGAGAAATAGTTGGAAAAATTAGGTATATAAGGGGAGCAGTACTTCCAGACTTTCTGGAATAACCACCAAAATTATTTAGTACTAGTTAAAAAATGGAAAAGTAGGCCAGTAGAATTGATTAGATAAGCAAGAATATGAAACAAACTCAATAGTTCAATGTTCAATAACCCCAGGAATACAAATTTTTGAGGGAAGGACTCCATATTTGACAAGAGCTGCCATGAAAACGGGAAAGCAGTTCAGCAAAAATTAGGTTTAGGGCAGCTAGGTGGCGTGGTGGATAGAGCACCAGCCCTGAAGTCAGGAGGACCTGAGTTCAAATCTGGCCTCAGACCAAACACTTGACACTTACTAGCTGTGTGACCCTGGGCAAGTCACTTAACCCCAATTGCCTAAAAAAAAAAAATTAGGTTCAGACTAACAGCTTATAACATATAGCACAGTAAGTTACAAATTGATACATAACCTAAATATAAAAGCTCATATCATTAAAAAATTGGAGGAAAATGGAAATAGCCTTCATAACTATGTCTAGTGGGGAGAATTCTTAATCAAACAATGGAGAGAAGTGATCATAAAAGAGAAAATAGGCCATTTTTATTATGTAAAATTAAAAAGCTTTTGCATAAATAAAGCCAATACAATTAGGATAAGCAAAAACTTGTTAAATTAGGGGGGGAAATCTCTGCATCAAATATCTGATAAAAATCTGACACCTAAGACATATAAGGAAATAATAGACATTTGGTTATTCCTCAGTAAATAAGTGGTGAATGGATATGATCAGTTTTCAAAGGAATAACTTAAAACTATTAATAACCATCAAATGACTAATAATAAGAGAAATACAAATTAAAATATGTCTGGGTTTTCACCTCACATCTATCAAATTAAAAATGATGACAAAAAGTGGAAATAGTGTTGGAAGGGCTACAGAAAGATAGATAGACTGATACATTGTTCATAGTGCTATGGATTGATCCAACCATTCTAGAAATCAATTTGGAATTATGTGAGAAAAGTGACTAAACTGCTTATTCCCAAATTCCCACTTTTGGATACGTAACCCCAAGGAGATTAAAGCCCTGAAATACACCATTGTTCTATTTGTCATGGCACTTTTTATCTTAGCAAAGACCTGGAATGGGTGTCCATTAATTAGGAAGTTTACTGTGACATGAATATAATGGAATATTTTTTAACCATAAAAATGATGACCATAAGATGTTCAGAGAAACATGGGAAGACCTGTTTGAACTGATGCAGAGAGAATTAAACAGAACCAGGAAAGCAACACAAAAACTCCATTAATGTAACTTAAAATTGAAAATGAAACTCCAAACACCATAGTTATAATTAACAATATCATCTCTGGGGGCAGCTAGGTGGCGCAGTGGATAGAGCACCGGCCCTGAAGTCAGGAGGACCTGAGTTCAAATCTGGCCTCAGACCAAACATTTGACACTAGCTGTGTGACCCTGGGCAAGTCACTTAACCCCAATTGCCTTTGAAAAAAAACAAACAATATTGTCTCTGGGAAAAATTAAGGGAAAATTAAGTTGAAGAAGTAGGGGATTATGGTTATGGAATGTTGCATATGCTTTCAGGCACAGTTGTAGTGTAGGTGTTTCTGTTTAATTGTTTTTCTTTGTCACATACAAGGCTGGGGATTCACAAGGGTGCTGGTGAATATGGGGGAATCCAGAAACCATCATGTTGTAAAAGACAGAGGTCATTAATAAAAATAAAAAAGAGAGAGAGGGGGAAAGAGGCAGAGAGAGATCTTCCTGTTAAGTAGTCAGCACTGATTGGAAGGAGTTGATGGGGAAGGTTGCCAGGAAATAATCCAGGGCTGGGAATTGCTACAATGGCAAGTGAAGTCTGGAGTGTGAGTCGATGTGGTTAATGAGAACTGCCTTGAAGTGAATTGACCATAGAGGCCAGATGCAGACATTTTTGCAGAGGATTAACATAATTCACAAAATGTCAATGAAGATGCGTGAAAGAAAGAAGGAAGGGAGGAAGGGGGAAGGGGGAAGAAGGAAAAGGGATGGAGGAAGGAAAAAAGGGGGCGACAGAGAGAAGAAAGGAAGGAAACATCTTTGTCATTATAAATTTTATGCAGCACTCATTGACTGTGGTATGATGGCTTGAGGTGGGGAATACTTGCCCAATCTCTATTTCATAGACGTTAGAGGGCAAAGAGATTCAACTTTATGACCAAATCCAGGCTGCCAATCAAGTAGGTTACAAGCCAAGAATAAAACCCTGGGATCCCTGAATTTACGGTCATTAGGTCATTATAAACCTTGAGATGCACTTAACTCACCTTCACTGACCACTTAAGAGGAGGGGGTGGTGATTGACTCCTGAGGCAGCTAAGCCCCAATAGCCAGAGAAGGTAGGGAAGTAAAAGGGGAGAGGTGATAGAGGGACAAATGAAGGAGACATAACCAGAGAACAGTGGAAGGGAATAAGCATTTATATATTGCCTAAGATATGCCAGGCACTGTGTTAAGCATTTTTAAAATTTATTTATTTATTTTTTTACAAACATCTCCTTTGATCTTTACAACAATACTGGGAGGTAGGTGCTAGATTACTCTTATTTTACGGAAGAGGAAATTGAGGCAAATAGAGGTTAAGTGACTAGCCCAGGGTTGCACGGTTAGTATGCGTCTGAGGCTGTATTTGAGTTCAGGTCTTCCTGATTCAAGTCTCAGCACTCTACCCACTGCTCCACCAGCTGCCTCTAAGAATAGAGGGAGATCTCCATCAGAGACAGAGAGCTAGAGGGGAAGTCATTCCTCAAGGTTGCATACTCTGGGTTATCCAATCAGAAAAGTGTTTCAGGGGTCCAAGATATTCTCTTCTGGGCAGAACCCTGCCATGAGGAACATGTTCAAACTTTAGAAGCATGTTTGCTTTCTGTCCTTTACTAGGTTGTCGCCTCTGAAAGCATCCATCAGCTCCGGGGCAGCACCAGCACCCTGTACCAGATCTTGGAGGAATCTGCCTCTCTCCTTACCATGTTCTGGAGAGCAGCCCTGCCCAGTGCCCACAGCCCCACACAGCAGAGGAAAGTGGTAAGAGGTGGGAGGGATATGGCGCATGTTTCAGGACAGATTGAAGTGCTCCCCCAAGAGAAGCCGGGAGTGAGCAACGAGAAAGGGAACTTCCAGGAGCTAGCCTTAGGAGAGAGGGAGTGTGGATGTGGAGGATTAGCTGGAGACAGGGCTTTCTAGCTCCATATGGATTTCCTTACCCCTGGGATGAGCTACTCAACCAGAGAAGCAAAAAGAGTTTGAGAAATATTGGAATGACACACCCCTGGAGATATTAAAATGTGCTATTATTTTTTCCATTGGAATTTTCTAGAGCAAAAAAGCCCCACCATTCATCATTCTCCTTTAATGATAACAATAGCCAACACTTATCGATAGCGCTTTAAAGTTTACAAAGCATTTCACAAATATTATCTCACTGGATCCTCACAATAGCTCTGGGAGGTAAGCTCTATTATCACCTCCATTTTGCAGATGAGGAAACTGAGGCAGACAGAAGTTAAGTGACTTGACCAAGCACCGCTAGTATCTGAACTTAGGTCTTCCTGACTACAGATCCAGCTTCTTATCCCCTACACCACCTGGTTTCCACTAAACTCTTCCACTACAGCTATCAGTACTACACATAGTCACTAACATAATCACAAACTGGTACTACTAAGTCATAGGGCTTCCCAGGCACCAACACTGAAAGGCTGGGATGGCTTTAGAATCTTAGGATTCTGGGGGAGGAGGTGTGGAAGGTCTGAGAAATTGACAGTCATTCTAAGGACTCTTCTCAGAGCTCAAGCCAGGCTTTCAGGTTAGAACAGAGTTGGTGGACATATTTCCAGAGATCCATGAATTTGGATGGAAAAAAAATACAGCTTTATTTCCACTAACTTCTTTCTGAAATTTAAAATGCCCTTCAATTATGAATGTAGGTGAGATACATTCTGAGGAAGGGGTTTATCAGCTTTACCAGATTGCCAGAGGGGTCCATGCCACAAAAAAGATTAAGGGCTTCTGAGCTAGAAAATCTCTAGATTGAGTCCAGTACCCCTTTCTCCTAGTAGAGGCTGGATATTGGATTAATGTCCTAGATCCAGCTACGGATAGTTGCATCAGCCTAAAAGACTGTTTATTGCTTTGAAGGGATTTGGCAAATCTTGATCAGCCTAAACATGCAAATTTTCCCCAGTCCATTCATTCTCCCAGTTGCTGAATAAATTAACAAATATTTAATGAATGCTCACCCTTCACATAATGACACAGTAACCATGCAAATGATGTCAAAGAACCCTGGTAATTGCAAAGAAGAAAAAGATTATAGGTGGGTTTTTTTTTAATTAAAATTCTAACATGTCCTATTTAATTCAGGCTCCCAGTTTATCTGTATGCCTGTTTCAGATGCATTAAATCCCCATCCCTACAAAGTCCTATCTCCAGAACCAGGCTTTCTTTGGGAAGCAAAAGGGTGTTGGTGGTTGTCACGGAGAAAAGTCGTCCCAGAATTACAGCTGAGAAGGGTGTGGATTCCTGCTTTGCGCTTTCAGGGTTGTAAGGCTTGTAGTACTTATTAGGTATTCTAACAAAGAACCCCATCTTTTATTTAGGAGGAGTCAATGAAAGGAGAAATTCTAGAGCTGAAAACCAAATTGTCTAAGCAAGAGACTCTCCTTCAGAGTACAAACGAACGCCTAAAGACCACCAACAGGCTGAAGGAGAACATGGAGCAGTTCATTATCAACCAATGTAGGTGTTCCTAGCCAGCACTGCTGGAGATCCAGGGGTTAGGGAAGTAAGGTGGAAAAGGAGAAGCTGTTTATACACATCACTGCCCTTCTGCTAGATGTCCAGTAACCATGGAGACCAAAGAGAGTCCATCATATGAATGTGTCCATGGATGGAGCTTTCCTGATGTCCCCATGCTTCCTGTGCATTATGTCTCATCAATCAACAAGCATTTACTATGTGTCAGGCAATATGCTAGACGCTGGGGATACAAAACTAGAAATAAATGTCCCTGTCCTCAGGGAGCTTACATTCTATCACAGAAAAAATAATGTGGCCATATAATAGATACATAATATATACAAGGTAAATAGAAGATAATCTGGTGGGGGGAGGGGTACTAGCCCCTGAGGAGAGGAGAGGTGGAGAAGGATCAGGATAAGCCCCATGGAGGAAGTGGTGCTTGAGCTGGGGTTTGAAGCAAGAGGTGGATTCTAAGAGATGCAAATGAAGAGGAATCCAAGTATAGGGGAAACTGTACAAGGTCACAAAAAAAGGACAAAATGTATGACACCAGCTGCAATGTCTGGTTGAATCATAACAGTGTGTGAAGAGGAATAATGTGTAATAGGACTGGGAAATATAGATTTGGGCCAGGTTTGAAAGAGCTTTAAGTGCTAGAAGAATTTGTATTCTATCCTATAAGCAATAGGGAGTGATGGGAGCTTCTTGAGCAGGGGAGGGACACAGACAGACATGTGCTTTAGGAATATCACTTTGGGAGCTGTGTTAAGATAGATTGAAAAAGGGAGAAACTGGAGGTAGGAAGAACCAAATAGAAGGCTATTATAATTGTCCAGACAAGAGGTAATGAGGTTTGAAACTAAGAGGGTAGTCACGTAAATAAAGAGAAGAGTTAGACTTAACAAAATGGGTCATCTGATTGGTGGTAGGGAATGAGGGTGAGTGAAGAGTTGAAGATAGCACTGGGATTATGAACCCGGATGACTGGAAAGATGATCTGGTATCCTCAACAGAAAAAGGGCAATTAGGCAGAGAAGGGTGGGTTGCTGTGGAAACATAATGAGTTGTGTTTTGGACATGTTGAATTTGAGATACCTACAGGACATCCAATTTAAAATGTCTAGTGATGGAGCTCAGAAGCTATGTATATTAGGGTTGTATAGAGGGAGATGGAAATTGAACCTATGGGAGCTAGTGAGTTCACCTAGAGAGTAAAGAGAGGGGAGAGGAGATGATCCAGGGCTGATCTTTTAAGCTTGTCCACGATCAGGGAATGGAACATAGATGAAGATCCATCAAAGGAGACTAAGAAAAAGTCAGATAGGAGGAGAAATGAGAGAACAGTATCCAAAAAAAAAACAAAAAACAACAAAACAAAACAAAAAAACAAAGAAGACAGAGAGCCAGGAAAAGACAAATATCAAATGCTACAAGAAGGTCAAGATAGATGAGGATTGAGAAACGATCACTGGATGTAGCAGTTAAGAGACCATTGATAACTTCAGAGAGTGTGTGCTCAGTTGAGTGATAAGGTCAGAATCTAGGTTGCAAAGGATGAGGAATGAGAGAAGAGGTAGTAGAGGCAAAGTGTAAAGAGAGTGGGCGTTTCCCCCCCCTAGGAGTTGGCTGTGAAAAGGAGGACAGAACATAGGGTGATAGATGGAAAGGAGATGTTGGGTGAGAGGTTTTTTTTTTTTTTTAAATAGGGTTAAGTGAGGGAGGTGTGTGTGTGTGTGTGTTTTAAGACAGGAGAGATTTGGTTGAGTTTGTAGGCAGTAGAGAAGAATGGGGACAGATTGCAGATTAGAAAGATGGGAAGTGGGTGGGATGAAGGGTACAGGTAGAAGAGTTGTTCTTTATGAGAAGGCTCAGTGTCTCATCAAAGACTTGAATAAAAGAGGAAATAAGGGAAATACGTCAGGGGGATTTTGATATGTAGAGTAGAGATGAATGGCCTCTTTTATTAGTAAAGTTGAGGCAAGGTCCTCTACTAAAGAGGTGAGAGGGAAGGGTTTGGTGGGAGGCTGAGGAAGAGAAGTTTCAAAGAGTCTCTATAGAGTCCTTGAAACAGAGAGCTGATCAGCGAAGAATAAAAAGATTGCTTCGCAGCAGCGAGGGCCCATTGAGATTAGACGGCATAAACGTGAACCAGAGTCAGCATGGTTTCCTGACTTCCTGAAGCACCATTCAGTAGTAAAATTGAATGAGGTGGCCAATGTGAATAATCTGGGGTTGGGGGATAGTTGGGCAAGAACAGTAATAGGAAAAGGGGGCAAGGGATTCTGATGGAGAGAAATCATGAATGAGAGAAACGGAATTGACCAAGCAAGGTAAGCCAGAGAAGCAAATTTATGCTAAACCAAGTGCAGACTCTTCTGATTTTTGCCTTCTTATTGTTCCAGTAACTAGGACGCACGATGTTTTGAAGAAGGCAAGGACAAATCTTGAGGTAAGAGAATTGGCAGTGGCCAGCTCTATCAGCTAATCATGGGACCCACTCCTAACTCATCCCCCAGCCTTTACACCTGTAACCAGGTGGTCACCAAAGTTGCAGTTTAGCTTTGAAGGAAACCATGATCTTTCCACCACTTGCAATCATCATAGTGGGGCACTGTTCTGCTTCCATTTCTTTGTCCCCTCTGTGCCCTCTTTTACATGGTTAACCTCACTTACGCTCTTCTCTATTCATTTCCATCATCCCCTTTTTACTTTAAGCTTGATATCCGAAGAAATGCAATTCAGTTCCAACGTGGAGGAACAGGGAATGTAAGCAATCGTGGCTGCATGACAACCACAGGGAGAAGAGAGGGAGGGAGCTAAAGAAACATCGGGACCATCACGACTCTTTTCTTTGGGAAGAGTGGCTGATGTTTGTCAAGCTTGGTGGGTAGGAATTGGGGGATGGGATGGGTAGAGATTAGGCTGGCTAGCCATAGTGAATAAAACTCAAGAAAAGGTAGATGCAGAGGAACTGGGATCTGACAGGTCTGTTCTGTAATAGCTGCATTGGCAAACTAGCTTTCACATCACTCTTTCTCCAATTCTTCTACTTTACTTCTGAATAGTAAAAGGTTGAGATGACTACAACAGAGAAAAGCAGCAGGCACCGTTTAACATTACTTGGGTCTCCTACACTTTTAACCTTTCCCTTTAAGAAGGAACAGAGAGTTTTTCTATTACTTTCTTTATGAAAAATTTCAAATAGGATCTCTTAGATCTTATTCCGAAGAGACTAGGATAGTACATGAAACCTAAAATAAGGAATGGCTTAAGGAAAAGAACTCTAAACACACACATACTGTTGAAGCAAAAGGCATGAAGGTGTGAGGATTAACCGGGAGAAGATCCTTCTCCCATGAGCTATTTGAAGCCTCCAAAAGAAGCAGAGGGAATAACTTTAAAACGACGGCCAAAGTATTGCCAACTCAACTCCTGAGAACATTACTCTAAGAACCTGCAAGTGGTAACCTGGTGTGAAGACCACCTTCAGAGGGGTGGGATAGGGAACCACTCTGTTCTTTTCCATGCTAACATCCTTTCTTTCTTTCTCGGACAATCCCTTTCTCTCCCGAGCCCCTTCAGAAGAATGCTTCCAAGATTAATTATGTAAAGCTTCATCCCTCTCCTAGTAAAGGTAACAACATCTGTTGATCTCTCACATCTGTTTGGTTTTTCTCAGCTTGCTTCCTTTTTGTCTCCGCCATGATCAAAGTCTTTTGTGGTGTAGTGGAAAGAATATTTGACTGGCAGTTGGGAGACCCAGGCTCTAATTCCTAGTTGTACAACTAGGGCACGAACCATTCAGCCTCTCTAGGCCCATTCTTCATCTATAAAATAATGGAGTTCTATTCAATGTTCTGTGAGGTCCCTGTGAATCTTTTCTACGGCTCTTTCAAAGAGGGAAGAGAAATTGCTCTTACCAGAGCCAGGGGCATGGCTCGATCTTTTCCCCCCAGCAGGATGCTTCCTTCTTAATTTGCACCTTAGATGCTAATTGCCTTTCTCCTTGAACAGCATGAAATACTATCCTTTTGCTCCATATAGAGGGTACTAATCAGAGAGCTCACTGCTGAGGAATGGGAGTAATTGCAGCATAGTGGAAAGAGATCCAGGGCTGAGGGCTGTCAGATTGTTTATAGATCTGGCACTAACTAGCTGCGTGACCCCAGGCAAACCACACACCTTTCCCTAGCTTCTCCTTCCTCATCTGCAAAATGTCAGGGTGGGGCAATGGTGGAGCTCTGTGGTGTCCTGCTTTCCAGCTTTGATTCATGGTTCTGTGGACTCTGACTGCAGCAGCTTTACGCAAGGAGGGCACCAATAACTATAGGTGGGGACCCATAGACTGGTCCACCTAGAAGCTTTCTGTCTAGCCACTTGGCACTGATCTCCTCTTCCCATACTTGAGACTGTCCCACCCTGCTGATTCTTTTAATATGAATACAATCTCTCTCTCCCGGTGTCTATCCTTGGCTTCTGCTAACCCGCTAATTCGGTTGTGCCTCCAATCTCGGCACTCATAGTAATACCGTACTCATTCTGCTGTCCTGTATTCCACCCGCAGGTTAACTCCCAAAGAGTTCTGCCATATGCCCAGGTCATGTGACCCCCTATCTTCCAGGAGCCAGGCAGAAAGCGAAGCCATCAGGGGTCCCTGAAGCAGCAGGAAGGACATGCCTGTCCGTGATCTCTCCAGTTACCTAACCGCACCTTTGGAAGCCGCACCGTGGGGCTCAGAGGACCTGGGAGCAGAAGACAGAGCATTACCTTGCTGGAGGTGCATGGAAATGGAAGCAAGCCAGCAATTCAGTATTATCGCCATCCTGGCAGGGCCCACCTGGCTCTAGGCAAAAATGTAGAAACTTATTTATGGGTGTAGAACCTAAAATGCTGCTTCTACCTTAGCCTTGGGTCGTTTGGATCCCGTCCCAAGGGAGCAGAAAGCCTAGATGTCTGCAGCACAAGCTTCTCTCTTCAGTACCTGTCCTTTAAATGTGTGAACTCAGGGGAATCATAGCCATCCTCCCCGTGAATGGGTAGCGGCATGGCCCACAAGACACTGGACATGATAATCCCTTAGGGAAGTGCATAGATCAGTGTAACTCTAGAAGAGTATTTTCCAGTTATGCATGAGCAGTTGCAAAGGGCAGTTAAAATACTGACCTAGTCCCCTTGCTGGTTGCTATTCACAACTCTCCTCTCCCTGGAGCAGCCTCCTATGGATTGTTCATGAGGGATGGCTACATGGAAAAAATAACATACAGAAAGTAACATCCAGAACGGAAGTTTCATCCCTGGAGGGATCACCATGGTGACTTGCCTGCTTTTGCCCTGGCATGGAGAGAAATGAGACGTAGAGGTCTTAAGCCGGATTGTCCTCCTCACCTCGGAGCAGTGGCCTAATAAATGGCTGGATTCCTGGACTGTTTCTCACCTTCTATATCTAATCATTTAATTCTTTTTTTCCCCTCTATTTTGTGATATACAATTTTCACTTGATTTGGTTTAGCTATGAGATGGTCTTTACTTGCTGTACCTTTTCTTTATCCTACTTTCCCCCTCTTAGAGAACCGGGAATAGCTGACCAGACACTGTCCAGCAATGAGCCTCCATTCTCAGCCCTCAGTTGGACAAAGTGAAGCCCATTCTTAGGTGAAATGCAAGAAGACTCCTGATGTAGTGAACCTTCTTTGTGGCATCTCAGTGCTTGTAGGATATGTGTGTGTATATATGCTGCCACAGTGGCGTGAGCCACAGGACAGATAGTCGGGGACAGGAGGGAGGCAGGAGAGAGATGTTCCAGTCTCCTTATTAGGCTGTCTTATGTCTAAGGGGAGGATAGATTTGTGTGTAAGAAATAAAAGTTTTTTTCTTGAACCTTTTTGTTTCCCACTGAATTAGACAGCAGTTAAATATGGAACTTACCTCCTTTCTTGAATTTGCTCATTTCATGGTGTTAGGGACCCTCAGCCCTAAACTTTGGGGCCATACCTTAACTACAGGTCTGTAATGGTGGACTAGGTTGAAGGAATGCTCTATTTGTTTGAGATCTCCATATCCCCATTAAGTAAGCCTTAAGCACATGCCTCATCTCCTTTGAAAAATGCAAAACAAGCCAGTCACCATTTCCCTTACTTTTCCCTAGAGCTATAGGTTCACATTAGGTGCAGCAGCATACACTTCTGAATGATAAAAAGTCATTGCTTTTTCCAATGTGGCCTGCCCCTAGAAACTCAGGCAGCAAGCTGACACATAAACTAGCCTTCACTGCTAGATGTGGCGGAGAGGGGAGGGTCTGAAGAGGGTGGGCAGCTCCTGGGGAGACATCCCCTCTATCAACAGAGATCCAATTGACTTCTGCTCTGACCTGGGACCCGGAGAGTTTAACTGACTTGTGAGGGTCCCACAGCCAGAATGTGAAGGTCACACCTGAACTCAGCTCTCCCCACCTTGCCATATTGTATGAGTCTGTTCAAATGTGTTCATTATCTAAGTATAGTTTCCCATTTCATCATGGAAAGATGCTAAGCACACACTATTGCCTTCAGCTGTGTGCCCATGTTTGGAGTCAATGAGCAGGTTAAGTACACGTGCTTATTAGGCAGGAATGAATGACCAGATCAGGGAAACGTGAAGCATGGAATTTGCCTTGGTGCTGATACCTCATATACCTATCCTATGACACTCATCCACTGTTCCAGAACAATCCCAACTCTCTGGCTGCCAGGGTCGGTGTGCCTTGACAACACAATAATGGAAGGAGACCCACAAGACTTGTGTTGTATGATAATTTTTATTTTATGAGTTACATTCATGGGAAAAGGAACCTGTACATGTGACGTCACAGAGGCTCTGCGTACTACAGGTATCATACACCTTATCCAGGGGTCAGTCACAGGTCATCAGTAGGAAAACAAAGAGCTCTACACTTGAGGACCGTCAAAGGTCAACTTGATTCCTTGGCGATATTAGGGACAAAAAGCACCAGTTGGAGGGGGGGGTCTCAGTTATTTCATCCCTCCCACACATGACAGATTCACCCCTTTTTTCTCGAAGTGTGTAGGCTATGAACAACTGCTTCATTCAAATCATTCCAACACATGGAGGTACAGGGACAAGCAGGTGTCCTCCTGTTCTCTGAAAATTCGATCAGCCTTTTTCAAGGGCCCATGAAAAGATTTAAGACCATTGAACAAATAGACATTCCTGCTTTGGGTGCCCCTGGTCAGGGGACGTGTCTGCAGAAAGGAAGAGAGATTACCAGGACTTAAAAATACTTAATGTAGGTACCCTTCATGAGTTAATCTTTTTGAGATAAAATTGACCGGATTCAGCACTCGTCTCAAATTTCACTTCCAGGAATACTTTTATGTTAGCCAGAGCTCTTTTGGGCACAGTGACACCGATACCACCTCGTGTCAGAGAAATTAAAATGGAACTTGTACTCAGCCTTCAGACTAAAGAAAAGGTTTTCTCTAAGTGACACAGAACCTTGTCAGAAAATAATACCTCCTCCCCCTCAGGTGGCACAGTAGGACAGCGACTCAATTCAATCCAATTTATGAAGGATTTATAAGGGTCTTCTCAGGACCAAAAGGCCCAAATCAAAGTCCCAGATGGTCTCTTTCAATGCTAACTTAGGCCCCCGTGCTCCAAAAGGCCTTTTTTCTTAGAGAGGAGCCGTACTTTGCTACCTTGAATTGTGTAACTGTCTGCTTTGAAGCAAATGCCCTGACCCATCACATATTATTTTGATACTGTGAATAAACTAGTCAGCAGCAGTGAATAAGCAGTGGCAGGCATTTGGCTCTCAAGATATAAATAAGAATAAACTAAGGACCAATGACCTACTCAGACTCATATCCTTGTTGGTTTGTGCCAGCCAGGCATCTGAGGATGGGATTTAGAGAATGTGCTGGAATACTGAATACTTCACAAATACTTGTGGCCAGCATCTGTTTCCCCAAGGAAAACATGGCTGAAAGAGGCTTCCTAAACCAATGCATTCATTTCATTTTCCCAATCTGACTCTTTCTCAATGTCAATCTCACCACTTCATGGTAAAGAGGTTATAACTCAGAGTCTCCAAGGCACCAGTCTGCCAAGACGGGAGAAATCTGGGAAATGATGAGAGTAGGGAATATACTAAAGGACCCCCTGAGAAACATGCAGCCTTCCTAAATTTCCATCTGGAAATGTCTACATTACTTAAGAGTGGGGACGGAGAGCTAATTCCTGGCTAGCTCCGTGTTAATGAAGGCAAGGCCTGCGGTGTCTGGTGTGGCCCTGGTTGGACATGGCCATATAGGCCACATCACATTTCCCCAAACTCTGAGGAATCATCTAATTTTTTAATTGCTTCCATTATGACTTAAAGTAAAAAGTCTTTTTTAAGTGATATCTGAATTGAGTGACCACATCCTTAGGATATGAATATTTATAGGGAACTCAAAAAGTGAGGTCAATGCGCACACAACGGAAGAGAATGCCTCCTTCTGGGCATCCCTAAGGTCCCGGGCTTGGTTTGGCAAACCTGGGGCTATGGCCAGGTTTCTAAGACTGGCCAAAGCTCTACCTGCCCTCTGGCCTCTCTTGTGCCCGTAGGCTGTACATAAAGAGGAGCCCCAAACACTCTGTTCTCCCTTTCCCCCGCTGTTCCTATACCACGTTTTGGTTCTTTCACAGTTCTTCCTCCTTGAAGGACAACCCATTCTATTAATGTGCCAGTTTGCCCTCAGACATTCTGTGGAAATGACCGACAGAAAGCTTAAAAGCATGTTTCACTGCCTTTGCTCCTCACTTCCAAACCTTTCATCAGAATCTCTAAGACGGAAGATAAAGGTATCATTTAAACAAACGCCTGTAAAAGCTTTTCAAAACCAGGGCAGGTCATGCTCTGGACTACTTCCTCCCAGGCGGCTACAACAATTTTTTGTGGAGACTTCTTGGATTCAGGCAAAGTGCTCTACCCACGTGGAGAAGGGAGTAAGGACTGGTCAAGATGATTACCATGCCCCTCCCTAACAATTCCATTCTAACTAGTTGGCTAGCTTCCATGTTACTTGTGGCTGAGGGCAGATTAATTTCCCCAAAGCTTGGCAAAGTGGTAGCCCGCACATCATCCAGAACAGAGAAGTCTGAATGGAGGACACCAGGGCCACAACCCGCTGCTACTGAGCCACAGGCCTCAGGCCCAAGGGAGAACTCCAGTGTCCCCTTCCCTGTCTCACGCCAGTGCTATACAGACGACACATTTAATACATGAATACAGAGGTCATTAGATACGACAACTACAACTTTGTTCAATGCTGTCACAACAGATAACCTGGCAAAAGACATCACTGTGTAACAGGGAAAAAAAAACCTGAGTTTTGTTTTTCTGACCTGTGAAACACTCCATTTATGTCATATTTTATCAAACAATTTCAAAGTGTCATATGATTTAACAAAAACAACCACAACACCACTCCAGGAAAAGGGCATCTGGGCCCAAAGTAGGGTGTCCATACAAGATTTTTGGTGCACAGGTGGAAAAGTTCTCAAGTGTCCAAGGCAGCACAAATTAAGCTCAATAATTAGCCAAGCGAGTTTCATTTACTCCCCCATTACTAGGGCATCCCTGCCCTCCCCATCACCCTAAGACTGAGCCTGGTCAAGATGCTGGGAACCCATAAGGCTACATTCCCAAGACGACAGGTCTTTTCCGAGCTCAGTTCAGGATAAGCCAGGAGGTAGCCAAAGTGACCTGCTGGTGCCCTGTCATTGTGGCAGGGTCCATCCTAGGCAGCATGGGAGACCCTCAGCCAGCAACAGCTTTAGCCTCCTTGAGTGTGGACAGATGACCTGCATTTCTCTGTAAAAAGGCAAGGACCACATTGGAAAAATTTCAAGCCTTAACAATATCACAGTGAATTTGACTGCACAATTTCTACTAAGCCAAAGTCAAGTTACTTTTAAAATGAGGAGCAAAAAAAAAAAAAAATCTTATAAAAAGTTTAGTGCACTATTCTAAAGGAACCAAGGGTACCACCTGGTGTCTTAGCTTGAGCGTAAGAGACTTGGGGATGAAGGAATTCCCTTCTCTATCCAAGGAAGCTAGAGTGAACTTACATCTACAGCAGCATGGCAGAGTGGTCAGAGGGCTGGACTTAAAGGTTAGGAAGACCTGGGTTCAAAGCTCATCTTTGACACTTATTAGCTTTGTAACCATGGGCAAGTCACTTAACTTACTCTCAGACTCGGTTTTCCTCATCTGTAAAATGAGGAAAATAATATATGTAATATCTACTTCATTGGGTTATTAGAGTCAAATGAGATTAGGTATGTAAAATGCTCTGTAAACTTTAAAGCACTATAGAAATGTCAGTTACTATATAATGACATTACATGTACTACTTACACATACAACACACAATGGCATTATATTATAATGGCAGGCCCAGGGAAGGCTGTCCAAATGTAAGGATTCAGGAAGCTAGGCTCAAGAACAAGATCTTCTTTTGAGACCTTTCTCTTATCTGCCAGAGGGAGCTGAGAGCAAGCCTACACGAGGCATAACATGCTTTATGAACCCTGCCATTTTCAGGACTTTCTAAATGTGTTTCTTCACTAGGAACTAAAGCAAGCCAGCATATGGTCTAAAGAGAAAAGGTGTCTCTGGACAATCCTACCCCTACGGCAGGAAATGAGGTCTCCACTCCACTACCCTTCACAGGGACCCTCACCTGTGTCCCTAAATTTTGTCCTAAAGGGAAAAGAGTGAGGAATAGGAGCTAGTGAAGGGATCAGGAAGAATGAAGTGTTGTATGGAGGGAAAAAATCATAGCTTTGGGGAACTTGAAAAAAACCAAGTCTTCCACTTAATCAAGGATAGCTTTCCACAGAAAGATGCAAGATATCCTATGGGAGTGCCTGGCCAGCAGTGTGACCCACTTTTATCACCAGGTTCTATGCTGGACAAGGTTCCTGCACATTTATTATTCCATGCAGCTTTAAGTAGTGTTCTCACTTCTGTTCTCCTAGGCCTCTGGAAAGTACCCAACAGGCATCCTACAGAAAGAGATTTGACAGTGCCGAGGTTTTCAATAACATTAAGATATGTATGTATGACATATATATACATATGCATGAGCCCACCCTTTCCTCTTAAAAAAAAACAAAACTGTGCACACACACACACACACACTCTCTCTCTCTCTCTCTCCCGCGGTCCAATGGAGGAACAGAACAGCCTATCCAGAGGAAGCTCAGAAGCACATAAACTGGCCTCAAAGCTCGTCAGTTCTCAGTCCTAAGCTAAGCCTGGGATTCAGTCCAGAAATACAAAGAGGACATTTCTTCCACATCCAGGGTAGCAAGGGGGACCCATTCAGATGGGCTTATACAGCAGAGTGGTGACGTACTTCTTTTTGTAGCGATGAGTGGCACTGAGAACCATCACGCTGTCCTGGAAGACAGAGAAAAAGGTGCAACTAATTCCTCATCCCGAGGCTCAGCTCACTCAAGCCCTAAGTACCAGCAATCAGCCACCAACTCTAAATATGCATTGATATCAAGTACTGGGATTAACTAGAGGCAAAAACAGAAGATATTCTGCAGGAAATATCTCTGCAGTAGTGTCTAAAGGGAAAGCCTAAAGCAAGAAAAACACAAAGACATTTTAGTGAATTTCTTTCTCTTGCCTAAAGCACATGTAGCTTTTATCTGCATGGAAGAGTCTACTCTCATTTGAGGAAAAATAGGCTATCTAAGGAAGTTCAAAATGGGCCCAAACCCCCAAATCTTCCCTAGAAAGAATGATGCAGGGGTTGAGCTCCAAAGATTCTAATTGGTTTTCCAAGTACCCTCCCTTCTGGGGATGACTCAAAGCCAGGCTAAACCCCGGTAACAAGGCATACCCTTGGACTAGGGGCTAGAACGCAGAAGGAAGAGGCATCTTCTGGTACCTTTGCTCCATACCATCAAATATTGTTTAAGCCACTGGGGAGATGGCAGGTCTACAATTATCATGAAAGCCAAAAAGTAGGCAGATGTAAATGACAAAAGGGAGTCTTTGAAATGTGATCAAATGACAAAAGGATCAAAAAAGGCCAAATTTAGAAACCAAGGTTCTCTAAGAAGCTCCCACATACAACATTACTCCAAAAACATTCTATGCTTAATCAGTGCTTACACAAGACAAAGGGAGAAGGCCAAAGAGTAGAAGAGAAAAAGAACTGGGAAGCAAGGTGGTAGAGGTAAGGGAGGCAGCTTCTTAGGAAGGCCTGGGCAACAGAAGGAAAGATTTTGTGATAACTAAGACACATTTGTATTTTTCTTTGTAACCTCAGTGGCTGGAAAACACCTGGCACACAATATGTGCTTCATAAATACACTTACCAAGTTCCTAAAACAAAAGGTGAACCAGTTTGGACGTGATGGAGCATCTCTGGCTCTTTTTTAATTGACTCTAATTTCTGAAAACTGAGGGGCTAGAACAAAAGCATATGGCTTTACAGACAGCCTGAGAGTATGCTACAGGAAAAGAGGACCAGCTCACAACACACCATTAAGAAAATTAAGAGCTCCCTACACGCTAGGTTTTTCTCCAGGTCTGAGGCTACCACAGAACCTCACAGTTGGAAGGGTCCTCAGGAGACATGCCTCTAGTCTGACCCAAACCTGAACAAATAGAATATACCTGACAAGTGGTCATCAGGCCCTTCCTTGAAGACTTGTAGTGAGAGGGAACCTAGAATTTCCATGGAAGGCCTATTCTGCTTCTGGAAGGTTCTAGTTGTCAACTCTCAACATGGAAGCTGAAACTTGCAGCCCATGCTCCTAGGCTACCCTCTGGCACTGGGCAAAATAATTTTGTTCTACATTCAAGTTTCTTATTCTTTATGAATGGGGCCCTCTGGCTATGGACTCCACAAACTTACTAAAATATGTCGCCATTTAATGACTAATATGGAAGCAACAAATTGCTAATAGATAGGTTCATTCAAAGGCAGAGTAGCCCAGTTATGGAAAACCAATTGAGTCTGATGACAAAAAGCTTACCCCTAAGCAAATGCCTTCTTGTCAACTGGTCACCACTACTGAGTGTAGGGAGGAGAGGTCAACAAGGTCAGCCTAATGCCTAATCTTCCCTGTCATTACACGTTCACTTCTTTTACCTTACACCCCTTCCAGGAATCCTTGTGAGTGGCCAGGCCATCACTCACCTTAATGGACAACGCGTACAAGTGGTTGAGCATGACATGGTTTGGTTCCGGGAGAAGAGCTGGGTCACACTGAAGGAGAGAAAGAAAACACCAGAGCTCGATACAAAGTAAAGAAACAACTGGCGCTCCCCTTCCTCAGAGGCCTTTTACACTGGTCAGAAGTTCATACCGAGAACACTAAAACGTAAACACCCTAAGACATGAAATCTACTTAATCCTTCTGAACAGATGTGAAATTCGAATCAGACACCCTAGGCCCACACTGGAGATTTGAAGGCCAAAGATCGTAATGAATATGAATTACGCTCACTACAGTTTTGGGTTCATAGTTCTTTGCTGGTGGAGAACAAGTCTTATGCTTCTTTTATACGCCCCAAAGCACAAAGACAGTATTAAATGCTCGATCAATACTTGCTGAATTGTGGTCCCACAAGCTGGTCCCAGCAAGCCAATATTCTGGGCCTAACAATATTAAAACCGACAGATGACTCCATGGTGGTGTTGGTATTTCATGAAGCCACAACTCTACTCTGCAGGAGGGGAACTTAGTGCTGTACCGTAGCATTAGATAACTGATACTATGTGTCTGCTCCTGAATCTGCATCTTCTGCAACTACTGACCTTTGGTTCATGGTATTGCCACATAGGTACAAATGATTTTTATGGAGGTCTTTCCATCTCCACTAGTTCTGAGAAGCCCTAGACCTTAAAAGGGCAGAATAACAAGATACTCACAGAAATATTAGTGTCCTTGTTAAGAATAACCTGGAGAAGGTGAGGAGGAAGGATGGGTGGGGATTTGAAGCGCTCCTCGGATCGAAAGACATACATTTCTTGACCATAAAGCCCTGGCGGAGAACTGGATAGGTCTGAAAGAAATTTTTCCAGGTATTAGAGGAAAATGTGAATAGAAATCACAGACTTAAGAACAAGTGAAAGATGACCTTGTTGAAAGCTAATGATATCACAGTGATAATCACTTACTCTTAGATATGGAAGGGACTGCTGATGCCAAGTGAAAGGGTCCAACTCACACCTGACCAAGGATTCCCCTTAGCACACATCCAACAATTGGCTATTTGGTCTTTGCTTGAAGACCTCCATTGAGGGGAACCTGTTTCTCCAACTTCACATCATCAAATAAAAACTCTATTTGGCAAATTCATTTTTAAAATTAAAGTTAAATAAAATTAATTTTCCTTGGAAAATCTGTCAAGGACTCCTCAACACCTGTGAAAAAACTGGAGACATTTTCTGCTGAAATTCAACCAGGGTTAGGAACCATTGACTTAATCTAAGCTCCAAAAATAAAATATACTTTCATTTAACAAGACAGATTAGAGGACCAAAACCCCTGGCCTTTACAAGTTACATATTAAATGGGAGACATATACTAGAGTTGATATAAGTACAACCAAAAGGGTGACTTAAGTCATCTCAGATCACCCGGCCATCAACTAATTCCTTCTTCGGAGCCCTAGGCACTGCAATGTCTGTATTATCTCTGCTGTGTGGAAATGGGGGAAAAGGTACCAAAAGAAATACTTATGGATGAAATCTTGCATCTTTATTTGACTGGTGCACTTTTAAATTCTCTTACTTTTACAATCTCCCTAGATAAATAAAAAGAGGTCAGAGATCATACAGCTGGTCAGTGAGCTAGGAATGTAGCACATGTTATATCATTCCCAAGAGGATGTTCTTTCCACTATGATACCATTAATTAATAAAAAATGGGGGGAAAGAAGCTAATAGAATAAGAAACTGGGTAAGGGAAAAAAGATGCAAAGATCACAGATAAAGCACAGTGAGTAGGTATATTGGAAGGCAGTATAATTTGGTTCTCTGCGCAACCAGAATGGTCCTTGTAAACTCCAACTTAATTGCCAAGATATATCAGGATCCTGAAACAAGATAAGGACAGTATTACTTAAGAATACGAGGTAAGCAGATTTTTAGGCAGCCACAGCTCTGTCATTTTTTTTTCTTTTGTCTTCTTTTTGTGAGGCAATCGGGGTTTAAGTGACTTGCCCAAGGTCACACAGCTAGTAAGTGTCAAGTGTCTGAGGCCAGATTTGAACTCAGGTCCTCCTGACTCCAAGGCCAGAGTTTTATCCAGTATGCCACCTAGCTGCCCCAAGAAGTTGAGGAAGGGCTAGAGAGGATTAGTTAAAACTATGTCCAAACACAGTCCATTCTTTTTTTTTTTCTTTAAAAGGCAATTGGGGTTAAGTGACTTGCCCAGGGTCACACAGCTAGTGTCAAGTGTTTGGTCTGAGGCCGGATTTGAACTCGGGTACTCTTGACTTCAGGGCCGGCGCTCTATCCATTGCACCACCTAGCTGCTCCTCATTTTGTTTTTTAAATGATAAACAAGCAACTTCACAAAAGAGAGTCCACTGAACATTAGACTCTAATTATTTATATCTCTCCAAAATCTCCGCTTCCACATTTAGGGACTCTGAAATGTCCTTCTCTGAGCACACTCTGCTGTCATTCTACCTCTTTCTCTGCTACCCAGTCTCAAAGCCTGTTTACTGTCTTCATTCCAACCTCCAAACCTTCTACCCCTCAGTTCTTTCCTAGGTCCACAAGTGATCTCATGCCATTCTCTAGCAGACTGCCCTCCTATCACCTGCACTTTCTTGCTCACCTTCAATTTCTCCCTAAGGGCTGCCTCTCTACTGCCAACAAACACATGCTTCCTTACCTCCCCTGTCATTAATAAAAGCCTGACCGTATCTGCTCATCTTCAATAATAATGATCATCCTGTATCTCTCCTTCTCTTCACGGCTAACCTTCTTGGGCAGGCCCCCCACAAGAGGTGCCTCTACAACCTTTCCCCTCATTCTCTTCTTAACTCTCTGCCCTCCCCAAAGTTACCAAGCGTCTCTTAACTGCCAAATCTAACAGCCTTTTTTCAATCATCACCTTTCTTACCTCTAAACATTGCTAATCATCCTCTTTTCCTTGATATGCCTTCCTTTCAAAGTTTTCCTCATCTCCTGATCCTCCCCCTCATCTCCATTAACCATGAGCTTCACCCAAGGCTCTGTCCTGGTACTGGCTGTGTCCTCTTCTCTCTCTATATTCTTTCTCTTGATAATCTCGACAGTTCCCATGAATCTAATTATCGCCTCTCTGCCCCTATTCTCAGATCTATTTCTCTAGCCCTGGCCTCTGTCCCCATCTCCAGTCTCCTACCTCCAACTGCGTCTTGGGTATCATAGCACCTCACCTCTAGATCACTATAGCAGCCTGTCAGTTTGTCTGCCTTACATCTCTCTCCACGCCAGTCCATGCTTCACTCGAATGTCAAAATGATCTTCCTAAAGGGCAGGTCTGACCACGTTCGGCACCCTCTTCAGTAAACTCTAATGGTTCCCCATCACCTCCAAGTTCAAATGTAAACCTTTGTGCTCCAGGGACGCTGGTGTCCTGGCTGATCCTCTCACAAGATGCTCCATAATCCAACTTGGGGCATTTCTCTGGCTGCCGCCCATGAGTGGAATTTTCTCCCCCCTCACTCTCCCTCCTTAAGTCCCAGCTAAAATCCCTTTTCTCCAAGAAGCCTTTCTTGACCCCTTAATTCCAGTACCTTCCCTCTAAGATTATCCCGTCAATCCTGTAGTATCTTGTTTGTACACAGCTGTTGGCATGCTGGCTTTCCATTAGACAGTCAGCTCCTTGAGGGCAGGGTCTGTCCTTTGCCTTTCCTTGTGTCCTTAGTGCTTAGCACTGGGCCTGGCACACAAGAGAAGCTCACGAACTTCCTGCTGACTCACTCTTTTTTGTTAATGTCCATACAAATTTGTTAATTACAGTCAATGTGTATGGATGATCTTGTGTTCTGGTTTTCAATTAGGTACTTCCACATATAGGGTTTATTTGTTTACCGTTGTCATGGCGATTCAAAGGTGACAGATCAAGGGTGCAGAATAAGACAGATATTTTTATTGTTGTTTGTCCTTCATTTTCAAAGAGGACCAATGATACTATGTCTTGACTTGTATTTTTGTACACCATCAATACTGTTTTCACTGTGCTTATTTGTCACAATTCCATCACACTGTTTATCCATGCCTCTACTTTTGGGACATCTGGTTATATTCAATTCTCTATTGTATTCTACCGCCTCCACCAAAAAAAAACCCCACCCAATTGGATAAATTAAGAGGAAAAAAATTAGCTCTTTTCCTCTGAGGACATTTTTTTGATTTTCAAAATTTAATTGAAAATTTTTAGGAAATAAAAAACACACAAGTTTTCTTCCCTCTAATTTTTCTATTTTACCTACCAGTCCTTATCAACCATAGTAAATTGAACCAATTCCCAATTGAGCAGGGCAACTAGTATGATCTGGAACCTGAGGACCACTGAGCCCTTGGTATGGCTACTAGTAAGAAGGCACTAGGGCATTAGTTGTCTAAGTGAGTTATACCTGGATAGAAACAGCAAAAAGCAAAGACAGGAAATGGTCCAAAAGCTTACAGCTAGATAATCAAAAAGGTATCAAAATAAGAAACTTCTGTTTTACAAAGAAAGAAGTCGAGAGAGTTCTTCGGAAGGCAGGTGTATTTTACATAGGTTTTGTAATAAGATCAAAATACAAGTTACCTCGACACGAAGTCTCTGAACTCTCCATGGAATCTAACTTCAGAGCATCAAACACCTCAAAATCAGACTTTTTGACGTGTATCAGGTTGTTAATAGTGCCAAGTTGGCTGGTAACAACAGGCTGAAAAAGAAAAATGAAAAGTGCAGTCAAGTCCCTTTTCAGAATCACCTCCTTTTTGCTGAGAACACTCACGCCTAATCTTTGTCTTTCACCAAGAAATGACACTCAACGAGAGGTGGGCCAGATCAAAAATCCACAGCACGATAACCTACTAACAAGAATTCCATACCACAAACTCCAGCACGTCTCATTCAAAGTTCTTCCTTTCCTTCAGTCCTGACAACAACGTGTGTAAGAGATGAAAGGAGTGAATTTAACTTAACACTTATTAAGCATCTACTCTAATGAGTGAAGGCACACCTAGTGTGTCTAAGTGTTGGGCAGCAAAAGGAATTAAAGGTAAATAAGTTGTGTTCTTTGTCCTCTAAGAACTCATGGTGTATCAGGGGAAATGGTATATTCACAAACAGCTATAATATAAGAATAATAATAATACATTCAATCTGATTCAATGCATCATGTCCACTACACACAAGGCATATAGCTTGTGTTGAGAGAAAATTTCTTTTAAATTTTTCACAAAGTTCTTTTCTTATGACTCTATACCATTAGCCTAAGAGGAAAGTGAGACTTATGGAAATTAGATGTCTTGCCCATAATCACACAGCTAATAAATATCAGCGCCAGGCAACAAACACAAGTCTTCTGACTCAGTTCCACCGGAGTCTCCTCATTGTGCTAAAAAGGGATAATGTGATTAGTATAAAATGGATGGACACTGTCCTGAATACACAGGTCAGAGATGTGAGAAAGCCCTTCCTGCAAGGGGAATCAAGGAAAGTTTCATGGAAAAAATAGCATTTGAGCTAAACTTTGAAGGAGGCAAGGGATTTTAACAGCTGGAAATGTGGGAAAAGGAGAAAGAGCCTTCCAAGAACAGGACACCTTCTGAGCAAAGTGAGAAAAGGAAGGGCATGTTTGGAACTACTGGTAAATAGTTCAGTTTGGTTATGGTATAAACTATACGAGGAAGAGAAGCATGACAAGAGGCTGGAAAAACAGATCAAAGAGGGCCTTGAACACCAGGCTAAATTTGGACTTTATTCAATACCAAGGCAATTAATAAGTGTGTTTGTTTGTTTTTTTCCTTTTTTAAAGGAAGACAACTGAATAGGAGATGTGATTAGTCTTGCTAGTAGATAACACATCTTATTTGGCAATGCTGTGTAAGATGGATTGGAAGGCTGGTACACCAAAGATGATGACATCGGTTAGTATACTATTCTAACAGTCTTACAGTAAAAGGTAAAGAGGGCCTGGCCAGGATGAGAGTGACACAATTCCGACAGCTCACTTACCTCTGATGGATCATGGACCCACTGGCCATCCACGAAAAACTTGTACTGGTGCTCACCCTCGGGGAGATCCAAAATGGCAACAAAATCATTGTGGCTACAAGGAAATGGAGAATAAGAAGAAACTGAGACATTCTGTTAATGGGTTCCCAAAGTTCAGTGGCCATTATTATATCTGGAGCCGAGTTCTGTCCCTCCTCAAATCTTCCTTAAATGCTCCGTCCTTTTGCCCTTGCATTTTGCTTCAATAATTTAAAGATCTGTGATTTATTTTAGCATAGATACTCCCTTCACTGACACAGAATGAAGATCTTCTATGACTCAAGAGAGGTTCTTCAAGAGTCCAGCAGGGGCTGAACAATCCATGACTGCAGCCCATCGGGTAACAAAGGTCCCTCCATACCTTCTAGCTCCAACACTCGGTCTCCTTACGGCAGGTACAGTCATTTTTCATCTTTGCATCCCCAACTGTCTTACAGAGTTGCCATTTAATAACTTGTTGGAATGGCATGTTATGTTGGCATAAGGGCTATTTACATATATTTACATAAATCTGTACTTTGAGCAACACAGAAAGAAGTCCCTTATAGTGTGGAGTAGAGGAAAGGGCACTGGCGTGGTGCGAAGAACACCAAAGACGTGAGGTCCCTTCTCCCTCACTCTGTTATAACCATGCAATACTTACATGAATGATTGTCATCTATTTCTAACGAATTCTACTCCAAACCTAACATACACAGAGAGGGTCAAAAAGGCTTTGTCCCATGAAGCAATTTCAGTCCACACAAAGTGATCCTCCAGTCTGAGGCTGGGAAGAAATTAGGTGGTTTTCAGAACATAAGCCCTGGGTGGAAATAACTGAGGGCCACCTTTTAATATTTTTTCAGTTTCTTTCCTAGAATTCCGTCTGACCTCCAAGGACTGTGTGGATAACAAGCTCATTATGAAATAACTTCCACTTTTGGAGGAAGAAATGATGTCTAAAAATGCTGCCTGAGATCAAAGAATCATCCATTTTAGACCCAGAAAGACCTTAGAGACTGTCTACATTAGAGAGCTCAAGCAGAGTGACTCACTCAAGGGCACTCACTGAATCTGAGTAACCACTTAAAATGTCTGCTTGCGTGATGCCATGTCCTCAGTAACAGACGAAACCCCCAGGGAGAAAACGAAATCTACTCTACGATTCCATTTCTAGAAATGCACAGTGGCAAAAAACTGGGACTCCTTCTACTTGGCTTTGCAAGTCCAGCCCTGCCATTTACTCTCTGTACGAGCTTTTCTAGGCCTCAGTTTCTGTGGCTGTAAAATAAGGGGGTTGGATTAAATGATCCCTTAAGGTCCTTTTCTGGCACTAACTCTACGTATGAGCTTATGAAAATGTGTTCTCCCCAACACACTTATCCTCTTTATAATATATTTACTAGTGCTTTACAGTTTACAAAGAAGCTTCACCAACAATATCTCATTTCATATTTACAAATACCCGGTGGGGTAGGTGAGGTAGTTATCATCATCTCCATTTTACAGACGAGGACACTGAGGCTTAGAGGAGACAAATGTCTTAGCCTAAGTTCTACCCTCTAGTGAAAAGTGCTGTCATAACTCAAAACCAATTCTCCATCTAGTACTCTTTCCACTATAACATATTCTCTCTCTCTTACCACCTCCCCCCAAAAAAACCCCACTACTATACTGAAACCTTATTAAGACTTGGGGTAGTATATCATTCTGAATGACATGAATCCACCATCACAGAAGCAAAGAATTTCAGAGCCAGGGGGAACCTCAGTGTCCCCAAAAGAAAGACCACTCCAACATATTGGACAAGAGGGCATTCAGCCTCTGCCTGAAGATCTTCCACTTCCCCAGGTAGGCCATGTCACTTTGGGCAACTCTCACGGTTAAGAGGCATTTCCTGACATCAAGTCTTAATTGATTCTTCTTCCACCCATTCTTGTTTGCTGTCTTTTGGGGCCACCCAGAACAAGTCTCACCTCTCTTCCACATGACAGCCTGCCAAGAACTTTAGGACAACGCTCATATCCCCCTGAGGTCTTCAGGCTAAATGTCTCTTCCTGGACTCCATCAAAAGGGGTTTAGTTACCAAAAGTATATGTTGGGACTTCATTTGTGGTCTCAAACTCTAAGATTCTTTGGTGCATCAATGTTATAAATAATAGTCCAGGTACAGTAATATGACTTGCATTTTACTAAGGCATGAAAATACTGGCCACAGAGCTAAACACTTTACGGATGATTCTTAGGAGTTACAGCTCAAATTCTGTTATTCCTCTTGAGAAGAGGGGATATTCCCAGTTTGAGAACCAAGGGATCCACTAAAAATACTCATCTTCACCTCTTAATGAGTGGGATTTTGGCACTCCAGTTGTTGAAGGATCCAGAGATGAAGACTTCCTTGCCTCCCTCAGACCATCGGATGACTGTGGGACGGGCCTGCTGCATGGGTTTGACAGAGTCCTCCAAATCTTGTTGCCAGGACACAAACTCTTTGTCCCCAGGGAACTGTAAGAAAAAATACCCAGGTCATCCCTGGAATCAAGTAGAGCACAAATGCTCAGAAAGGAGGCAGGTTGCTCCCCATGCTGAGGGGCTGGGCTTGCCTATAACATGCTTTGAATAATCAACTAACACTGAATTTTGGATGTGCCATAAAAAGATACACCAGAAAAAGTGGGTTAGAGTAGTTAAAGTTTAAGGGATACCCAAACCACAGCCTAATAAACAGACCACCACCAGTAGAAATTTCCTTAGTCAAGTAGAGACTAGCTTAGAATATAGCATATGAACACTGGGTTTTCCTTCTGATACTATCGAATACTGCAAGCAAGTCATTCTACCTTTTCAGAGCAGGTGCCTCTCTCCATAAAATGATTTCCATAAATCAGGATGAAGGATGCTGTAAGTACTGTGAGTTCCTCTGTTTTAATCATAAGGCTCTGTTGCTATCTTTAACATATACTAAGGGACACTATACAACTAGAAGATGGTGGGATTTTTTTAAAACCACTATTAAGTCAGTCATGCATTTGATAGGTAAATACAGATAACTTTCAGTTTTTAATCATAATAGAAAGTCAATAAATAATTCACAAATCACATTTAATTAGTAGTTTTCAATTACAGAAAGGGAATCAGGAAGGGATATGTTTATGAAGAATCTTCAAAGTCAATGATCAATTTTTCACAAATTCAGAGGGAGGTGTATAAAACCTTATTTACCCTGCTCAATCTGCTCTAAGTTAATTAATTTAAAAATGTATGGGTGGAAGGCTCTAGAGACCTAGAGAAGAGTAGCAGTGATGATGCCTGAGCTCCCTTTAAGTAAGGCACTGCCAAACTCCCCTGATGTTTACAGAATACCAGAAGAGTTGCTCACTTGGCTCCTTCCACTACTGTCCTCTACCCAGCCTCAGATAACCAGAATGAGAAGACAAATAGTATCTTCAAAGCTTTGTTAAGTTAAAAAGAAAATGAAAATCTGGTGGTAACAATTACAACTCCCCCCCCAAATAACCACTATAATTTCTTTTCATCTAGCATTTTCTTTCCAAACATCTGAAGTGATTCTCTGAATTTCTCAAAGCTTCTCCAGAAGACAATTTATGTAAAGAAATAAAGCACAAAGAAAGCAAAGTCAGATTATACTTACTGATAATGACTATATTTTAAAAATAACACCAACATCTCATAGGTATACAATATTAAAAACAGAAAATAAGATGTTATAAGAATTTCAAAGTTAAATAGTGTTTCCTATTATCAAAATGTAAATAATTCAGCATTTATCCTATTATTTAGAATTTTATTTCTCATTCCACTGGCTCGTATTTGTTGAGACTATAACTAACTAAATTTGTAATAAAATACTGTATAAGGCAAACACTGGAAAAGAGTCAATATCATTTCCCCAATTTATACATTGAGTCAGCTGGAAAACAAAAACCAAAAACCCTAATCTTCCAGACTCCAGCACGTCCCTCTCAGATGGGGTCACACAGCACTCAGTGCCACATAGATATCAACACCACCAGCTGCTTCTGGGAGATGTCCTTCTACCAGTACAGATTCCAACCCTGGACAGTTAAGTCCCATGGAGTTGTCCAAAGCAGAGAGGGCTACAGTTAGCATGTGTGCGCGTGTGCGTGTGCGTGTGTGTGTGTGTGTGTGTGTGTGTGTGATCCCTTTAGCAGTCTGGTGAAGTCTATGGATCCTTTATCAGAATAATGTTGTTACATAAATACACAGAATCACAAAGGAAACCAATTATATTGAAAGATGTTTTGTTTAGTCTTTTGGTCTTGTCTATGACCCCCTTTTCTTGGCAAAGATACTAGAGTGGTTTCCCTTTCCTTCTCCAGCTCATTTTACAGATGAGAAAACTGAGGCAAACAGGGTTAAGTGACTTGCCCAGGATCACACAGCTAGTAAGTGTCTGAGGCTGGATTTGCATTCAGGGCCTTCTGATTCTGGGGCTGGCATTCCATCCACATAGTTACCAAACACTTTTTAAAAACCAAGTTCACAGAATCTAGGCTAAGAATCCTTGCTCTGAAACACTAAATTGCAAAGCAGGTGGTGACCTGCTTGGGTGGGAGAAGCTCACTTTGTCAACGTCCAGGCTCTATCCCTCTTTCTACAAGCACCAGAAAGGTAACAAGAGAAAGAGACACGATCCAAGAGGCCCGAATTCAGGGGCAGTGACCCTGGTCTTTGTTCAGGCTGTCGGGCACCACAGTGACTAGCTGGCAAATGGGGAAAGGCTACTTTTTTCCATACCTTGAAATCAGCGCCCGTTTTTGTCTGACCTAAATAGCACACACAGCTGTTACAGACTGGGGGGGCGCCTAAAGCTGGACAGTGGCCATCGCTGGAGAGCCTGTTCTTCAAACAAGAGGAAGGGAATGAACCTCGGAGTCCTCACTCTAGGAAATGGGAATCTAGGGAAAGTATCATAGGGCACATCACCCTGAGATGATTCTCCATGATTTAATCGAGAAAGCAGCTTAGCTGATCGAGCTATGAGGAAGAGGGGAGAAAAAATAAAATACCAGGATATGTTTCTACTATCATTCATCTCCACCTCCCAAACTGAAATCCTTTTCCCAACCACGTACTGATAAAGTAAACACACTGCAGAATTAAGACATGCTGTGTCATCAGTGGATTAAATTACAAACTTGGTCGGGCAGGAAGAGCAGTATTAGGCACACCCCGTCTCCTTAAAAAAGACCCAAATACCATCTCTCATTTTATTTTTAATTCAACAAGTTAGGATGCATGAGTAAGTCCAGAACAGATTAAAGAACTCATTATTGGCTTAATCTAGTTCCTACATAAAGTTTCTCAATATTATCAAAGCTCCACCCTTTCCTAAATCTAGAGTTAAGGTCATTCTAAATTTCCCTAGGAGGCTTCCTTTAGGAATTCTGGAAACACCCCCAAATGCCTAGGAATCCTTGGATCTGAGACATTTTGAGACACTACTGAAATGAGGGGAAAAAAAATCTATTTAGTCCAAGAGTGTGCTGCATATGCCTCACGCTACCTTTAAAACTGGGGAGGAAGCCCCAAACACAGCTAGTGTCTCCCTCCCCTCCTGTTCTTACACCCAAAGTAAGCAGTTTGGGAGCAACTCACCTCTTCAATCACTATATTTTTAAAACATAAACAAGACTAGGTAACTCAACCATCTGTTGTTCTCATAAACTGCCCTGCAGTTAAGTCTAGACAAATAAATGAATGAGACAGCAGTGAAAAAAGAACTAGAATAAAATGGAGACAAATCTGCCAAACCAAAAAAGGCAGTGGATATCCAAAGCCCAGATGCAGTCAGAGAAGTCACAGTAGGAAAGTGTCAGGCAGTGGCAGCTGATAAGATTAGAATTTTAGGGCCAGAAGGGGCCTCAGGGAGCATGCAGTCCACATGACCCAGGCACAGAGACTTGCCCAAGGTCACACAGCTTGTGTCAGAGGCAGAATTTGAGCCCATTCCCTGACACCAAACCGAGGCTGCCTCTGGTCACGGTCAGGTCAGTTCATTTCCCCCTTTTTTCCTCAGGGTACATAACCAATCAGCACTTAGGGGGTTTGAGATCCATTAGGACAGCCAAGGATTCTGCGTCACAAGCCCAATCCAAGCCATTTTAGCAATGTCTCCCACAGACTAAAAACCTGGAAATGCCCAGGACCCAACAGCAGAGACCCTTCTTTTGGGTGCTTCTGCCCCCAAATCAGGGAGAGCCCACAGAGGAGGCAGGAGGAGCCCCACCTAGAAAAACATCAACAAAACCCACACATCACATTTACTTTAATCATTCAAATAGCCCTAAATTAAATATCTACTAGGAGGGAAAGGGGCTTCCAGCCCAAGCCCGGGTAGAGAGGCCCCTAAACAACAAACATCCCAGACCTTCATTCCTCTCCAGACCATCCTCTTGACCCTCCCAGACTTCCTCCTCAGTTAGCACATAGTAAGCAATCAACACTTGTTGACTTGACTTGACCAAACAAGTGGCCATATTCATGGGTGGTTGAGGACCTAGTAAAGGAAAATCTACTACCTGGAAAAGCCAGGGCACCCATTTTTGGACAGCTCTCCTGGTTGAATAGTTTTTCCTTACAATGACTGGTAATCTCCTTCCCTGTAACCGCCACCCACGATTCCTAGCTTGTTGTCCTGAGGCCAAGCAGCATAAATCTAATCCTTTTTTTCCATTGCCCGTGGGAATACCTGAAAGCAGCTATCATATCTCCACTAAAGTTTTCTCCTCAGGCTAAAACATCCTCCCGTTCCTCAACCAATCCTCATACTGCATGATCTTCAGGGCCTGCCTAAAGTCCTTCTGGACATTCTCCAGCTTCCTAAAATCATATATTTAGAGCTGGGAGGGATCTTAAAGGTTATCAAGCCAACCCCTTGATTTTACAGATGAGGAAACTGAGACACAGAGGAATCAAGTGAATTATTTGCCCAGGGTCACACAGCTTGTATTCGACTTAAGTAGGTGGGATTTGAACCCAGGTCTACCTGGCTCCAAATCCAGAACCCTTTCCACTACACCACACTGTCTTATCAATGGCCTTCCTAAACTGTGGTTCTCAGAACTGAATACAATATTTCAATAATCCTACACAATCAATCAATCTCTCTCTCTCCACACTACGATTACATTATTTTCATAGGCTGTGTAGCACTGTTCTCATATTAAGCTTGTGGTCCAATAAAACTCTCAGGTCTTTTAAGATAAAAAAGTTCATCCTCCCCCCAAAGCTCCTACTTGTGAAGTCAGTGATTGTTGAAGGATCCCAAGAGTAACCCTTATACCTGATCTTCTTAATCTGAGACCCGAGCCCCCACTCCCCCACTCCTGCATTCCAGAGGATCTGTAAACTTGTATGGGGGTAGGAGGGAAATGACATTTTTATTTTCAATAACCTCTAACTGAAATTCGGCATTTCCTTCAGTCATTTAAAAACACGATTTTCAGGCAAGAGGTTCATAGACTTGCTTGGCAAAGGGGTTCATGACACACACAAAGTGAAGAATTCCTAATTTAGGGGCAGCTAGGTGGCGCAGGGGATAGAGCACCTGCCCTTAAGTCAGGAGGACCTGAGTTCAAATCCAACTTCAGACCAAACTTGACACTTACTCGCTGTGTGACCCTGGGCAAGTCACTTAACCCCAATTGCTTAAAAATTAAAAAAAAAAAATCCTAATTTAGACAGACAGTTCTAATTGATGCATAGTTTTTCCTTGTAATCCTCCCAGTCACCCACTCTCAAACCATCCTTAGCTCCTTACTTCCACTTACCGCACACATCCACCCAATCTATAGCCAAGCCTGGTTGTTTCTACCTTAGCAACATCTCTCCTATACATGCCCTTCTCTCTTCCAACAGTCACCACCTGGCTCATCAACTCACGCTTGGACTATTTCAACAACGGCTGTCTGCTCTGCTACTTCTCCCCTATCTGCAGCCGAAGCCACCTTCCTAAAGCCCTCTCCTGCTTAGTAAAGCACTCTACTTCTCACTGTAAGGAAGGAATCCAACAAGCACAACAATTTTTATTTTAAAAACTGAATGATCTCTATTGCTTCCAGGATATTTATAAATATATATAATACACACACACATGCATATATATGTGTGTACACATGTGATCTATGTGTGTGCATGTACATACATATGTACACATGGGATATATATGTATGTGATAGATGTGTGTGTGTATGTATATATTCCTGTTTGGCTTTTAGACCCCTTCACAGCCTGGCCCTCTCTACCTCTCCAGTCTTCTCACTCTTTACACACCTCCACCCATTCCATCTAGGGACACTAGCCTCCTTGCTCTTCCTCGAACATGACACTCCCATCTTCCGACTCTGCTGTCCCTACTCGTTTCCACCACCCGGCTTCCTTCAAGATTCAGGTCAAATCCTACCTTTTGCAAAAAGCCTTTCCCCCCCCCCCCCCCCCTGACAAGACGTCCGATTCACTTTACATCTCTGGTCAGTTCTCTTCCATTAGAATGGACGTTCCCTGGGGGCAAGGCCTGCTTCGGGCTTCCTGGGTGGCCCTTCCCCGCGCTCGGCTTCGGACAGCGGTGGAGCTGACCTCATGTGCCCCCTGCACCGGCCACCCATTCACGCCGGACAGGGTCTTGCTCAAACCCCTTTTCCAGCCATGACAGCTCTGCGGAGCCTTGAAGACAGCTCCCACCGAGGCCAGACACACGCCGGGAGGGCGGCGCGCCGAGGCGCTCTGCTGGGACTGACCAGCCTCCGAGGCCGGCTGGGAGCCGGGTCGGGCCAGGCCGGGCCGGGCCGGGCCGGGGAGGGGAGGGGAGGAGGCGCGGGGACCCTGCCCCCCGCCGCGCGCCGCTCACCTTGGAGTCGGGCACGCTGAAGACGCTCGGATCGTCCGTGCTGCCCACCATGATCTTGTGCGGGTGCTCTTTGCCGTGCACCTGCCCGCCGGCGCCATCGCCACGGTGGGACTTGGAGCCGTGGCGCTCCCCGGGCACCCGCTCGCTCGTGGTGTTGCCCATGGCGGCTCGGGGGTCCCCAGCAGGCGGGGTGCGTTTGTCCTCCGCCGCCGCCGCCCCTCTCCGCGCCTCCTCAGGGCACCACCCCCTCCTCCGGGGAAGACGGCGAGCAGGAGCCCGGGATCCCCTGCCTTCCTCCGACTGCTCTCCGGGAATGCCCCGGTTCAGCCGCCCCCCACCGAAGAAGCCGCCCCATTCGCCTTAGCGGCGGAGCGCCCTCCTCCGGGGAGGGGGAGGGGCGGGAAGGCGGCCGCGCGTGCGCAGAGGTGGTTGCTCTCGCGCCTGGGGGCTCAATAAAGTTATTGAAACGGAAGGGCCGGTGGTTCGCGTTTCCTCCTAAAATGGCGAGGAAGCCGCCCGGGGGGAGTAGGGGGGGCCGCCCCGCCCTCCTCCCCCCCTCCCCCGCCCTCTCCGCCCCTCTAGGCGCGGGGGCGTCTTCTCGACGGTGCTGGAGGCGGCTCGGTGGGCGTGGCCCGCGGAAGCGACGGGCGGCCTCTCAGCTCCGGAGCCTCGCAGTCCGGAGTGTGGAGCCAGGCGAGGTTGTAGCGTCCTGCCCGCCCCTTGCACGGATGAAGAAACTGAGGTCCAGGGGGCGGGGAAAGTAACTTGCCCTGGAGTCACGATCGTTCGCAAGGCGGCGTCGGGGGCATTTCGGTTATCCGCGTCCCCTTTTTTATTTTCACTGTCTTAAATAATTCAGGGAGTGTCTTGTTAACTATGCAGTATCTTTTTCATTTTTTTATTTCGTTAATATTTTTTAGTATTTATTTTTTAAAATTGCGAAATTCTTCCCCTCCCCACCTTGAGAAGGCGAGCAGTATGATATTGACCATGCATGTGAAGTCATGCAAAGCATTTCCATGTTAGCCACCTTGCAAAAATAATAATAATAAGCAGAAGAAACAAAAAAAAAAGTCTGCTTCAATCTGCACTTAAGAGTTCAGTTCTCAGTGGATAAAGCACCCACCTTGAAGTCAGAAGGACCTGAGTTCAAATCCTGCTTCAGACCAAACACTTGACACTTACTAGCTGTGTGACCCTGGGCAAGTCACTTAACCTCAATTGCCTTAAAAAAAATAAGAGTTCAGTTCTCTCTCGGTAGGTGGATAGCATTTTTCAGCATGAGGCCTTTGGGACAGTCTTGGATCATGGTATTGCTGAGAATAGCTAAGTCCTTTACAATTGATCATCCAGTATTGCTGTTACTTTGTACAGTATACTCCTGGTTCTGCTCATTTCACTTTTATTTGATATCATGAATTTTCTTGTTTATTCTAAATTCTGGTCAGACTGTGAAGAGTTAATGCTCTGTGCACAGACAGCTAACTTGGGAATACCTCCCACTTCAATAATAAGTGTTCTTGCCTCCTGAAATGTGGACAGTTTCATTCTTTTCTAGGTATTTGGTGCTCACCATATCCTGTGCCCATCCGTTTTGAAGAAAGAGTTCATCAGACAGAAGCTTGTGGCTTCTGTAAATCTCCAAGTCCTTGGACTTTCTCACGTCTTTCTTCTGAACCACACTTGACCATATACACCTCTCCTCTCTCACCTTTTCTCAGCTTTGCATTAAAGCCATCAAGTATCGGAGTGAATGTTGATTTAATCCACAGATGGGAAAAGGTGAGAAAGGGGAGATATACGTGGTCAAGTATGGTTTAAAAGAAATAACTGAGGAAATCCAAAGTCTTGTAGATTTTACAGAATTCTGTATCATAAAGTTGGTCTTCAAAATTGGTGGGTGCAGGATATGGTGAATACCAAATTACATAGTAAAGAATGAAACTGTCTACATTTCAAAAGGCAAGAAAACATATAAAGGGGTCTTATAAGCTCTTCATGGAAAACAAAAATGACTTCGACTTTCATCCAGAAGTTGAATAAATCAAATGTAAATTAATTCCCACACAGAGAATGAAGGAATCCAGAAAATGCCTTAGTCAACAAATACTTGTTTTATTTGCCAGAGAGAGAGAAATGTCTGTCAAAGACAATACCAGGTTAGAATATGAACTCTGTAAAAATGTTATAAAGAATTATAGATGACTATTAGGAATATCATCCCATAAAGCAGTGAAAAGAGAGGGTCAAAGCAGTTAAAAGTAAGCTTGGCAAGATATCGAACTAAACAAAAAGTCATCCCAATGGCATTCAAGGATGAAAAGTAAAAGAAGACTACTAATAAAAAAAATTGGGAACAATTTACAAAAAAATCATTTCAACAAACTTCTCTAAGCCTAGTAGAATCCCCATATTTCAACCCTAAAAATCATAGTCCCTGAGGTAGAAATGGCACTAAAGAAAACAAACACAGGAAAAGCAGCGGGATTTGACCAAGTAAATACAGAAATCTGTTCTGGAGATTATACAATTCTGAAGACGTTAAGGGACTAAATATACAAAGTATCTGCAGGAGGTAAAGATACCAAAGGTGTGGAAAGAATCGTTGATGGAGAGAATATCAGTGACCACTAACCCCTGTAGCTTTTCTCCTATCTATGTTAGATTTTTATGAAGGTCATCTGCATGAATTGAAGGTATCCTTGATGGTGATATTAATAGGGAATAAGCAGGCTTTCTAAAGCAATGTTCAACAATTTACACAATTGGCAACAATATCAAAATTGGCTGAAAGATATGGGATGTAAAATCCCATTGCGCTCATTGTTTGAGGCAATTAGGTGGCTCAGCAGAGAGAGCTCTGGACCTGGAGTCAGGAAAACCTGAATTCAAATCCAGCTTCAGATACTTACTTAGTATGTGACTTTGGGCAAACCACCTAACATCTGTCTGCCACAGCTTCCTCATCTGTAAAATGGCGATGATAATAGCACCTACATCTCAAGATTGTTAGGATCAGATGAGATAATGTTGTAAAGCACTTAGCAAACCTTAAAACACTATATAAATGCTAATTATAATTATTATTACTTATTATGGAAGCATTTGGTTTAGTAGAGTAACAGGCTCTTTTTACAAGGTGTTTCTCATTTGTTCATTAAGATCTTTCAGGATTTGTTGGAAGAGGTAACAACAGAAATTACCCTGGTGGGTGACCCTTTGATAATAAGCATCAGGTGAGGCATCAAACAGATGTTTGCTCTCGAAAAGTATTTGCCCTTGTAGTGGAGATCTAGCACAGGGTCCAGGCTGAGGAGGGTGAAGTCCTCCAGATGCTCCCGTTTGCAGATGATATTTTATTGATTTCATCAAGCCACAAAACGTTGCAGAGCCTCCTGAAAGATTTTTAATCAGTCAAAGGAATTTAACTTGTCTATTCACACAGGGAAGACCAAATGGATGAAAATGCCTGGTGCATAGTTTAACATGCAGCTGAATGAACACTGTATCAATCTTTCCAACAGTACACACACACACACACACACACACACACACACACACACTCACTCACACTTCAAATGGTACAAATGGGACACTAGTTTAGGCCCAGAGTTGAAAAGAAGGAGAGCAGGCTGGATTGCTTTCCAGAAGCTGCAAAACTCTTACTGACCCCAAGCTTCCTGTGAGAGCTTTCCCCTCTTCCCCCCAACATGGGGGACTGGCCAACAAAGCCCCAGTTCTTTGAACATGTACAACATGCTCTGCCTGATGCCCGTCCACGTAGATAGTTGGTGAGCCTTTTTCTAGAAATGTATGAGGATGGTACCTTTTCCCAGACCATGTGCAGGAATTTTTTTTTTTTTTTTAAAGACAAATGAACAGAACTTTGTCTTCCTGGCATCATTCACTGAAAAGGAGGATATACCGTGAGCCTCTAAGGGAAAGTTGTACAGAGACAGGTACTGCTACAGCTGCCCTGTCTCCCCACCCAGCCACCACGGGAGCATGAATTCATTGCACGGTGGGTTTTTTTGTTTGTTTGTTTTTTGTCTTTTTGTGTCTATTTCCTTATCTTAGGTGAATAAGTATCAGAGACAGAATAGAACAGGTTATGACCAAGGGAGCTTTAAGTGTTTGGAAAAACACCAGAGATCTAACAGCTGGTTTCCATATGTAGTAGAAGACACAACCCCTCAGGGTTATTGATAGAATCCTGAAGGGAGAAGTAGTCATTGCTTTCTAGGGACCCAGCCTGCCTGTTGGAGGGGAGTTAGGAGAATGAATCCAGATGGGGATGCTTCTTATATTTAATCCACACTTGTTATTTTATTGGTATAGAAAATTTCCAGTAAAGAAACTCTACAACTACAACAAAAACTTTAAATCTGAAGAGAAAATGGCCTAGCCATTAGTAAATTTTTGTGCAGATTGTCTTTTTTTTTTTTTTTGGCTAGGCAGTGGGGTTAAGTGACTTGCCCAAGGTCACACAGCTAGTAAGTGTTATGTGTCTGAGGCCAGATTTGAGCTCAAGTCCTCCTGACTCCAGGGCCAATTGCTGTATTCACTGCGCCACCTAACTGCCCCCAGATTAGCTTTGATAAAGGACATTAAAGCCTGTAGTCCAGAGTTGTAAACTGCTGCAAGCCCAAGTGTTCCTTATACATGCACCTCCCTATTATGTTTCTGTAAGTTTGTGTCCACTCCCCTCCCTCCATGGATACTTGTACACTGAGTATAGAACGTACCCTCGGTTTACAGGTGCAGTATTGTGTTGTTTTTCTTGCTTTGCCTTCTGTTTAGTAAATGTTTCTGAGATAATTGAGCTCATTTTGGCTGATTCGTTAAATGGGAGGTATACCAGTGGGGGCTCAGGAGTCCCAGTTATGAGTAGTGTAAGTCTAGCTCCCGCACCCTAGGATGTCTGCTAGGACCCTCAGAGAATGTTACAGTAGCATGCACACGCACTCTGGAACCCCTGGCCTGCCAGCACAAGGACAGGTTGAATGATTGAACCAGCCCAGAGAGAAAAAAGAAGGCAACAGGAAAGGGGAATGGGGAGGTGTCAGACATCACGTATCCACTGCACTACAAAAGGCATGGAAAAACATCAGGAAGATGTAATTAATTATCCAGAGCAGAGCTATTGAAAAAAAAGTTTGAGTTGCTGTGAAGAAAAC